ACGTACTTTCAAAGTTGTTTACAGTCATTGTTGCTGCTCCTCTCAGCTCTTTCGCAACGTTTCTCTGTGACAGTTGACTCAGCCCCGCGCACACCGGTTATATTTGGGCTCTTGAATGTCACTGAGAAATTGTGCGGATATGTCATCCCTTCGTGTACAGTCACAAAGCCACCTAAAGCTGGCGGATGAGCAGAGCCCGTGTGCTGCCTTTTACCCACGTCTCGAGGAGATCTGTAGGGAACACGGGGGTGGACGGATCAAGCGTCCTTCAAGTTTGCCCGCATAGTTCAGCTGAAAGAAATTTAGACGCATAAGAATCCAAACAGAGAGATGGACAGAGATCCAGAGAGTGTTGCGTGAGGAAGAGCCATTATTTAACCTAATAGATGTCCCTGTAAGGCAAGCTGCTAAATAAGGCCCAAGAAGATTTTCTACATCTGTGGAATGGATTCAAAGAGTAAAATGTTCTCAAAATATTACAAAAATACGTCATAAAGGAGAAGGCGGAGGATTGTGAATGACAGATGGTCCAATTCTGCTGAGCTTTCAGTGGGTGCAGATTCTGTGTGGGCCATCATCCAGGAGAACTTCAACAGACACAATAATATATCTCAATACACTTGACATTAAAAATCAATAAGGGTAAATTTTTTTTTGGAGTAGTTCACTTTAAAAAAAAAAAACTTTTGCTGATAATTTACTTGTCCCATGTCATCCAAGTTATCCATGTCATTTTTCTACAGTGGAAAAGAAATTAAGGTTTTTGATGAAAACATTCAAGGATTTTTCTCCATATAATGGACTTCAATGGTAACCAAATGGTTCAAGGTCCAAAAGAGAGATTCAGTGCAAACTGCAAACTGTTCAAAGGGCTTTAAACGATTCCAGACGATGAATAAGGGTCTTATCAAGCGAAATGATCGCTCATTTAATTTTTTTTTATACAAAGTTTAAGTTTTATAAGCTCAAATGGTCGCCTTGCTCTGTTCTGTGATGCGCGTTTGTGACTCTCCTGTTCAAACTCGTTCATCAAAATGAACTAATCTTTTCCAGAGTCAACTCGTTCATTTCGTTCGTTGAATGAACCAAATTACACGTAAAAAGATTCGTTCATTTTGATGAACGAGTTTGAACAGGAGAGTCACGAACGAGCATCACAGAACAGAGCAAGGCGACCATTTGAGCTTATAAAACTTAAACTTTGTCATTTTTTTTAAATGAGCGATCATTTCGCTTGATAAGACCCTTATTCGTCTGGAATCGTTTAAAGCCCTTTGAACAGTTTGCAGTTTGCACTGAAAGTGTCTTTTGGACCTTGAACCGTTTGGACCCCATTGAAGTCCATTATATAGAGAAAAATGCTGGAATGTGTTTTCATCAAAAACCTTAATTTCTTTTCAACTGAAGTAAGAATGACATGGACATCTGACATGGGGGTGAGTAAATTATCAGCAAAAGTTTTTTTTAAAAGTGAACTACTCCTTTAACAAAGGACAATGAACTAACAACATGATCTAACAATGACCAATTTATACATCATAAATGATATATATATATATATATATATATCATAAACATATCTAGATTTTTGTATCAAACTCTGACCGAGCATGCTTGCTCACATTTCTCATTCAAGTAAAAAAATGCATATGAATTTTTCAAGTAACCAGGCACTGGATATTCCCGCAATGTAAGTGTTCACTTTCAAGTGTTTGCCTGGGAATACCCTGTAACGAGGCATAAATTCACAATAGCATCACTAAGTTGAAATCGTTCTGAGTAAAGTATTAATGTATTAATAGTATTAATGTTTAAAGTATTCATTTTTTTTAAAGAACATCAAATCTGAGATATCAGAGATCTAGGCTTAACAGTCTCAAGACGTTTTTCAGATTGACTGTAGAAAAACTTGGTAACAGTCAGTCATCTTTCTGAATCTAAGACCAACATTTCACCCAGGGAGGAAGTGTTAAGTGTAATCCCACTCAGCAAGACCCCAAGAAAAGCTGCTTCATAGAAAATCATTTCCATTATGTTTGACATTTCTCATCAGCCTCTCGCTGGAAAACCACGGGAGAACTCTTGTGAGGTTCTTATATATTTATTACAGTTATTTATTAATTACTTTGTGCTTTCACAGGGGTGTCATTTCATGGAGCACTCAGCTTTAACACAAAGGCCTTTGGCCATTTTGTGGTGTACCAGGATTTATGAAGCTCTGACAGGTACTTTCAGGTTACAAAATGTACTTTCGTCTGTACTTCCAACAAACTTTCAATCATGTGGACGACGTCTACTTACTGTTTACAATTTAAGTAGCTTTTGTTAAAGTACTTATAACAATTCCTCTATCATGTAGAAATTAATGTTATGTGAGCTGTTGTAGTTTAAATAATAGGCAACAATTAGTCATGAGACTTTTCAAGGCAAATAAAATACTGGTTATGTATTACTGACCAACCTTGTTTTTCTACAATATGTAACTTTTTTGTTCAAAATAAAATCGTCATCACATCAAGTCAAGTATATTTATATCGCGCTTTTCACAATATAGATTGCATCAAAGCAGCTTCACAGTATCAATCAAATCATAATAACAATGTTCGTTTCTTAGTGGAAAAATATCCACGTTTGGTAGAGCTGATCAATGGTGTACTGATTGCTTAGTTAATTTGAATATCCCCAACTGAGCAAGCCAAAGGAAACAGTGGCAAGGAACGGAAAAACTTCTTTAAGTGACCTAATGGTGTCCTAAAACTCCATCAGGACCCAATGGAGAAAAAAAAAAACAACAACCTTGAGATAACCCAGGCTGTCGGGGTCCAGTACTCCTTGAACTAGAGGCCGGTTTATTTCCAGGGAATGCATGAACTTAATAAATGTGCACTTTGAATGCAATGCAAGTCGCTTCCTATATTATATAGCTATAAAGCAACAATAAAGAAAGTGAAATCCAAGCCAATTTGACATCACATATTGTTTCAAAACAAAACCACTGAACAAAAGAAAGAGGTCTGTGTCAACTAAATGTAATTTCTTCCTGTGAGACGTGATAGCAGGAGGGGGAATGACAGAGAGATGGAAGCGGAAATGGAGTGAAATAGAAGTAGAAGGAGTGATAATGAACCAAAAAGATAATTGGACATTTCAAATCTGAATGTTCTTATCTTCAGTGCAACATCTTACACATCTCTTGCTGCACACCAACAGTTCATAGTGACCGAGGGAACACAAAACACTCCATTAAGCTTGTGTGCTATAATAAATATCTTCTGTATGAAACCGTCTTGACATTTTGGTCCTTTTTAGAGTTTAACAGATGTAGTGATTGGTGTTTACAGAAAAAATATGTTTGGGATGAATAAAAATTTTGCAATAGTCTTTTTTTCCCCTATTGTTACCTATATCTGAGTGAAATGGCTTTATAAACAAGAAAATAAATGTAGGGTGGGACTTGTTTTTGTGCATGGGAAATTAAATTAAATGGATGGTTGTGGCTGTTTGCTATTGGTGGATCTCATGTGAGTGACAGGTTGCCCCGCCCTCGCGCCAGTAAACGCATCATCAGAGAGAAGAGCAGTGAATGCAAGGGGGAAGGGAAGTTATTTTGATTAAGGTTTATGAGGGCACATGAATATAAAAAAAAACCAAGAATTGTTCATTTTGATATGGTGACATTGATTAAGGAAATGGAGAGGTTTTCTGATAATGAAAAGCTATTAATTAAGTATAAAAACGTAAAATTAAAAATAACTTTTAAATAAAAATCAAATAAAGCAATATATTTCATTTGTTTACCTGCATGTCAACTACAATCATAGAACTGTGAACTTGCAAATTTGTTAATAAATTATTGAAATATATGCTTCAAGAAAATATTTAGAAAAAAAAAACTGTTTGGGAATCTTCTTTAACCTGTTAACTGTCACCCCCCCTTTTTTGAATAGACATGAAAATGCACATTTCGAACTTAAATGGTTGTAATTCAAGAATGCTTTGGAATATAGACATATGATTGGTCTTGTTTTAAAGAAGACATTTGGCAGATTTTTGTAGAAGTGAAATAAATTAAGAAAGTGAAACAGAAAAAAAGTTATAGAGGTTTGAGTTTATGGAAATGTACAATGCAAAAATATTAATTATTCATATTTTACATAAAATATATATTTTCGAAACCTGGGCTACTCTAAAATGGCAGAAAAATCAAAGCCAAAAATCTGAACAAGTTGTGTTTCAAATTTTAGGTTGATATCTCAAAAAATGAGCTTTCAGTAAGATTTTGTTTGAGCGCAGTACCAAACGTTTTCACTAGGGCACAATCAGACTCCATTACTGCCCATATAAGGGCGCCTGCATTTCCATTCGTGTTTTGAGTGATATGAACCATTATTTTCACAATTTTCATACAATTTCTGAAGTAGAGATCCTATTCAGAAGTAGCATGGGAAGTTTGGCAGATTTTGATATGAATTGAACCTCTAAGAAACACATACAAAGAACACGCATGTAAGTCATAGATAGCTGCCACGTCACAAATGGTGAATTTATTATTTTATTCTTGATATTTCAAACTTTTCAGACCTTTTTTTTTCCAAAATAATTGAATGGATTCTATCTTTTGAACTTTTGGCATGAAAACAAACTGAGGTATCTACCATTTTTTCATGATTTTTCATGTTTACTGTTATTTTAAAATAAAGGTCTGAACACGCCTTATGAGTATGAAAATATTCTTGTTTTATATTGATAAATTATGGCTCCTCTGTAATATATTTTGAAAATCAGTCACCAAATATGGAAACTAGAGATTGTAAGCTTTCAAATGATATATAGTTTGTCAATATTATTTAAGGTATTTACTAAGATATTATTGTTTTAAAAATATAGTGGCAAACGTCCCACCTGTGGGACGGTGACAGTTAAGTGTTAAACAATTTCTATGAAAATAACCTTTGCTTTTGATTTCATTTTTTGAATATTCGATTTTGATGAGAGGCAGACACCTTTTTGTTTTTTATTAATTTAATGAAAAATCATGGTAACAGACATACTTCATATCCAGAGCACAAAGTCTGGATCATGCTCCCACAGTCAAAAATAAACTGCATTTACATTACAACCCATTTTACTGCAGTATTGTGTCAACCAGAACTTTAAACGAAGTAGAGCAAGACTTTTATCCATTAGGAATAGATTGTGAAAAGTGGGTGTTACATAACATAAATCAATGAATCGTTTAGAACAAGTAAATGGGGACAATTTTGATTTCAAAGGCAAAATAATAATAATAATAATAGTAAACTGCCATTAAGTGAATGCATATAAAAATATGAATATGTTTAAAGAATATACAAGACCTGCCTGTTAATCTCTCTTGGATGTGTCTAGTGACAACACCAGAGCAAATATGAAGTAACCACCTTGCCATCTACAGGCCAAAATATGTCATATGGATTACAAATGTGTAAAGGAACATGAGCCGCAGTCCAGCTATATTCTTCACAGTCCAGCTGAGAACATCTACAATTGAAAAGCAAGCTTTTTGGCCAATCACTCGTGAACTTCCTTAGTCATTCTGTCCTGAATCCTTGGCCATCTTGTCTTTCAGATACTTGATTTTGAGAGAATAGTACTCTTCCTGAAGCTGTAGGACTCGTTCCTGTCTGCGCAGCACACACATCTCCAGGTCGCTCTCTCCTGCTGATTGTGTGGGCGGGGGTGAATCAGTCTCTGTGGTGTTTGATTGGCTGTCATTTGCACTGTTAACTGGCTGAGCGTCCAACACCGGTGCAATCTCAGCTGGAATAATGTATTTCTCCTCCTCTTCCTCCTCCTCATCTTCCTCCTGTAAGATTGCACTTTCATTCTCAGTTTCAGCTCTGTGAGAGGACAAAGCTGTTAAATTAGCAAAACGCTGATTGGCAAATGCAAATTCTGTCACCCTAAACCCTAATGTTATTCCAAACCCATAGGCTGTTTTTAATAGTAGCCTAGGCATTGTTTTACTCACCAAGGCGGAATTTATTTGATCAAAAAATACAGTTTTAATATATTACAATTTAAAATAACTCTTTTTGATATGTTTTAGCTTACCTCAAGAGCATCCAAGATGTAGGTGTCTTTGTTTCCACAGTATTTTCAAATTTGATATTTTTAGGTCAAACCGTTCTTGTCTGTCAGTGATATAATGGAGGTCTATGGTCACCACCTCAAAGAGCATGCACGTAAATACTGTTCGTTTTCTCACACAAACCACTCGTTTCGTGTCTTAGGCCATCAATGTGTACTTACATTTACGAGTCATTAAATCATGTTTAATTTGGACTTCTCTGTGCATGCTCTTTGAGGTGGTGACCATAGACCTCCATTATATGACTGACAGACAAGAGCGGTTCGACCTAAAAATATCAAAATTGAAACTACAGCAGAAACAAAGACACCTACATCTTGAGGTAAGCTAAACATCCCAAAAATTTAATTTCAAAGTGAACTATCCCTTTAATTATTATCATTTCTCAATTATTCATAATGGTTCTTATCAATGTAGAAAACAGCTAATAGTTTTTACTGAGTAATAGTTTTTGTGGATTTTTTCAGGATTCTTTGATGAATAGAAAGTTTAAAAAGTACAAAATTTATTTCAAATAGAAATATTTTGAAACATTATAAAATGTCTTGCAGAATAAAATTATTAATTTCTTGTTGTTTTTTTTATGTTACTTAATATACAGAAGATAATTATGTATAATATACAGCTATTGATAATTTGGGTGATTTTGTTATAACCGTTTACACATAGCAGAAATCATTGAACTATTTACAAAAAAAGACAAGCAAACAGTCAGTAATAAAATAAGAACAAATAAACAAATTGCAAACGAAAGCACAAATGAAATACAACAGAATGTCGAATGCTTACATTTAGAAAATTGGACATGATTAGAAATGAAAAGAAAACAGGACAGCACAGAGTTGTGTGGTCATACCCTGGAGAAGCGTACGGAGTCGTGTAGCTTGTGCTGGGAAAGGTAGAGTGTCCTCGGTTGTGGTAAGACGGATGTGACGGCCGGTGGATAAACTCCCTCAAGAGGTTCCCTTGAAACTCCATCATCTCCTTCCACATGGCCATCAGACTCGCCTGTTCCTCCTTCCGTTCCTCTCTGGCTTCCATTCGCAAACGCTCCTCATACTCCCTCTCGTTCTGCACATGGAGACTTTCTTGCTCAGTGAAACGATGTTTTTTGGCCTTCTTCCTCGCTGGTTGAGCAACAGCTAAAAATAAGATCACACAACAGTCAGTTATGCATGTTCATATCATGATTCACAAACGTTTTTTTGTCCTTTGACCCAAAATATTATTATTTTATTTTTTTATTTTTAGCTAATATTTCATGTCATACTATTTGATGTCAAATAATGGCTACATGACTGTTAAACAAATACAATAAATAAATTTTGGGGGTAAGTGTTTTATTTTGATTTATTTTTAAATTATAGAATTTTATTTAAATAATGACTAGCTTTTTGGGAAACCCAAATCAACCAATCAATCTTTTTTATTATTACTATTATTCATTTCAACCCGATTTGAAAAACGTTCTTGTTTCAAAAAGAATTATGTTTATATTTGTATTAAAACCACAAAATAACCTTATTTATATCTAAGGTAAATTATCGGAAACTTTCCATGAGAAGTTAAGCTGGGGAATTATGGAAATATTCCAAGTTGGAAACTTGATAGGAATGTACAGTAATTAATTGGAAATTTAGGGAAAATTATACAAACTATATCATAAACAAACACAAATATAAACATTTTGTCCTCGTTTACACTGCAAGTCTTGATGCCCCATTCTGATTTGTTGCCTATATCTGATTTTTTTTTACCGTACGTTTACACGTTCTTTAAATTGTGTCCCATATCCGAGTTTACGGTAACACTTTACAATAAGGTTCATTAGTTAACTACATTAGTTAACGTTAACAAAGATTAACAAATGCTGAAGAAATATTGTTCATTCTTAGTTAATGTTAATTTCAACATTTGTTAATACTTCAATTAGTTAATGCACTGTGAACTAACATGAACTAACAATGAACAGCTGTATTTGTATTAACTAACGTTAACAAAGGTGAATAAAAACAGTAACAAATGTATTGCTCATGGTTAGTTCATGTTAGGTAATACATTAACTAATGTTTAATAAATGAACCTTATTGTAAAGTGTTACCGAGTTTACACTTGACATACTAGGCTGCAAAGATGGCCCTATATGTCCTCCTCCGCCTCAAAATCATTTTCTCTTTTATTGCAAAGCTGCCATCAAGTATATTTCACGTTCATCCATCTGTGCAAGAACCCCTTTAAGCATGCGCAATGTTTCTTCCTGTGAGTGTAGTATGTCAAGTGTAAACTCATGAATCAGATATGGGTCACAACAGTGTTGTAGTACTCGAGACTCGGACTCGGTCTCGAGACCATATTTTAATGGTCTTGGTCTTGTCATGGACTCGTGTGTATTTGGACTCGGAATTGACTCGTACTCGAACATTTTTTTTTTAGGACTCGGAATTATTCCCGAGTCCACTCGAGTTCAATTAAAAATATTTTTCATGATTATTAATGTATGTTAATAAAATATTTCTTTAAATTGATTGACACGCCCAGTGATTGGTGATTTTCTAGTGCGCAACTGCGCGTGACAAATTGTAATAAAATTACTTTTAACACCACCTACTATGTGGCCTTTTTACCCTAAACTGATCATATTTTTTAAACTCTAAGTAAATTCAGTAAAAAAAAAAAAAAAAGGATTTCTCTAAGTAAATAAAAGTAAATTAGGTAATCAACCCTCACTGGTCTCGGTCTCGACTCGGACTCGACTCTCTATGGACTCGGTCTTGACTCGGACTCGACTCTCTCTGGTCTCGGTGTCGACTCGGACTCGAGTGAGGTGGTCTCGACTACAACACTGGGTCACAATTTAACGTGTAAACGGATGGTCAAAGAAATCGGATATGGGCAACAAATCAGCATTGGTCATCAAGACCTGCAATGCGACTGCAGAGTGACCAGGAGCTGTCTGAATCGGACTCATTTTGACCTTGAATGGAAGCTGAGGAACTCTTGCCTGGGGTTGGATGTTTTGAGCCCTGGGGAAGCTTTAGGCACTTGACTATATGCTGCTGCATTTTTGTGGCATTCTTAACATAGGTCTTTGCACAGTATTTGCAAATGTACACATCCTTTCCTTCTACATTGGCTGAGGTGAAATGTATCCAAACATCAGATGGCGCACGTGGCATTGTTCTGTAGAGCAAGATTAGAAAACAGCTTGTAATGGAAACTAATGCAATGCCATGCAGAAGGTATGAGAGCCTTGCCTCCAATTGTATTAGCTAGCGTATATTTAGCATATCTGATTTACTGGCTAGCTAGCTACTGTATAAACACACTTTGATTTCATATTTAATAGTTTAACTTTAAGACCATAGGTCAAATAGGTTTACCCTGGTAATGTCATCAAAACTTACTTGACGTGATGTAGTCCTATGGATCAAATGAAGTAGTGTGGCTTCAATAGTCCTGCTGTAGTGTCTGTACAGGATTCTAGAAATGATCTGAGCATGTGATGAAGAATGCACAGTGCATTAAGGGGGCGTGGCCTCAAGTGCTTTGCAGGAAGTAGTGTGCATGTGATTGGGGAATGCACAAAATTTGCATTCAATCTGGTTGTTTTAAGATGGTTTTTCCAACTACATCAAAGTTCCCCGTTATAGACTAACCTGCAATTTTGCAAATGTCCAGTTTATTCCCATGGAAAGTTTCCAACTTTGAAAATTCCCAGAATTCTGCACCCTATTTATATCTGAGATTATGATAACTGGACTCTACTTGTGGAATTAAACATGCAAAAGAGGTCGTATGACAACAAGATAGCATACTGTATGCATGAACAACTTAGTGCACATTACCAAGTGTACGCTATGCATTAGGAAGTATAAAGCTAGTATTGTACGCAAAACACAGCCTCCCCTTCACTTCTTATTTGTTTGGCCAATTAAAAATGTAAATAAACCATATTGCACATAAAATAGCTAAATTGACTTCCAAGTAAGGTCACATCAATGTACAGTACTGTGCAAAAAGGCTCAACCACAAATAATAATAATGGTTTTACACTAGCTATTTAGGCTATTTGCTGTCAGACTCCTTGTGCAAACAAAAATATCATTGGATAATTCAAATTAATGGCGAAAGGAATGTTTGGAAATGTGAACTAGTTTAAAACCTTTTTATTTTTTTGTGTGAAAATACTACGTGCCAATAAGACTTGCACAGTACTTTATATACAGTGTCTGTCATGTTTATATAATTGCCCGATGTTTGCATAGTTTATCATTGCACAGCAATCAGTTTGTGTAGTAAGTGAAATGCAGTGTATAGTGCGCATTATCTAGCATACTGTCTAGACTGCGTTGTATTTAACATGCAGTGCGCATCAACGCACCTCCTGTCATCGTGTCCTCCTCCGTCTCCGCGTCATGATTGACGGACACGTCGATGTCAGTGGATGTGCTTCTGCTCTCATTCCGCGCGTCCTCGATGGATGTACTCTGGGGCTCTTCGGGTTTCACGTTATTATGAAGTGTTAAAGTGTTCGTAGGGCGGTTGCTGCCCCATATGGACTTGCATAGATCATAATAATTCCAGTACACTCTGCCGTGCCCAGATTTTTTGTGATGCTCGTGAATTTTCAGGAACTTCTTCTTGAGTGTTTTCAGTTTGGTGGTGACCTGTCGCTTAGTTCTGTGGATGCCCTGCGCCCGAAGGAGCCTCGTTATTTCGGCGTAAATAAGAGAATCGCGAACGGTCCCGCTGATTTGCCTGCTGATATCTTTGTCCTGTCGGATATACAGCAGCGCCCTCGTCTCGGTGTCCGTCCAGTTTCTCTCTACTGACATTTCTTCATCATACACTTCGCGGCGTGGAAACCTTGGGGAATCACGTAACGTTAGGGGGTTCATTATTGACTCAAAACATCAGTTGATTCTACACGTTCTACACTCGCGCATCACGTAGGCCTGCAAGTACAAGACGTATGTACGTCACTCGTTCTGAACTTTCCGATTGGCTCAGACTGACGGGCCGCGGCAGCCCTCTAGCGGCAGAACATGAAATATAATCACAAATCGTTCCAATATTATGATTTCAGTAATACACAGTAATAATTAGGTGCTTTCATTGTTTATATGAACACATATTTATATGAACCGTTTTCCCTGAGATGTTATCTTAATATTAAATTTGAAAGTTTTTTTTTCGGAATAATTTTATTATTTTTCTATTTCATATAATGAATGGTACATTATATATAATATGTTTAACTGTAAAAAAATATTAATGTTTCACTGTATCTTCTTAAAACCCAAAAGTGCACTTTTGGTAGTAAGAAGATACAGTGAAACATTTATTTTGAATTACAACTTATTGGACACAGTCGTGGCCCAAAGGGATGTCTGTCAGGCCTAGGAAAATTGAGATATTCAACCTTTGTATTGTAAATTTGTTTAAGATTTTGTAAGCATATTGTGTAGTTGTGCATGCAGGCAATTGTTTAATTTGTGATAAAGCAATGAAACGTGTCAAATGGTGCAAAATAATTTTTGGCCAGGGTGTCATACAGAGAAATTATGAACCCATGCAAAAACAATCCAATTTTAACAGCTGATTATGTTGTAGTCAGTGTTTTTTTTTCTGAGAGGTTTTTAGTTTATTTTATTTATTTTTTTTTGCATATTTTGTTTTTTTACCAGATAAATATCGTTTAATGTTATAACGTTTTTATCTTCCCCAATATATAAAAAAAATCCTCATATTTTGGTTTCATTGAATTTGTAGGGTAAATATCCCCTGTGGACATGACTTTTGGACACTACTGTATAGATCAGTAACCAAATTAAAAAATAGCCAAACCATTCAATAAGGGTGCTAAGAGTGGTCAACAATTAAGTTAAAGGATCCAGAAATCCAGATAAATCTACATTTATTTTCCTACAATGTTGCTCATCTGAACGTGAACCCTTATATTAGAGCCCATTTCGTTTTGCAGATGCCAAAGTTGACTGTATTGCAGGTAAATTAAAATATCATCTAATGTGGGTTTATGGTTAGATCAGAAATATATCCTACATCTCTGTCTCAAACCTGCAGAAATGAGCCTGAAAACTGTGCCACATGAGATCTTCTGAAGCAAGCACAGCGTCAATATAATATAAATATAGAAAAAAACGAATTTGAGAATTGATAAAACATGTTTTATTATTATGTACATGCTAAGGCACTGACTGTAGAACAGACCAACAGCTGATTGGTCAAACCAACAAATACAATAAAGATAAATTACAGACAGTCACTAAAAAAAAAAAAACATGTTTTTTGGGGTGAAACAGTGTGAAGAATTATTTCTAAACTTAAAATATGGAGGGTATTCACAAGCTACAATACAAAGCACCAACTGCAAAGAGATCAACAGTGTTGGACACCGACAAAAGAACATAAATGGATAAAATAAACAAGGTTTGTACAAGAGTTAAAATTTCAAAACCAAATTAACCGTGAATACTGAGAAATACAGATACTGCTTGCTATAGCACTAGACTGGTCACATGATTTGAAGGGGGGGGGAAAGCATTTCACTACTCATGTTTGGCATGTGACCAATAAAAGTTACTTGACTGAAAAACATGAGCAGAAACAAATAACAGCAACTGTTAAAAAATGAGGCTTATTTTACACCACACACACGACACATCAACAAATTTAACATCTAAATGTTAAAATGAACTGTAAACATGACCATTTCAGAAAACAAAAAACTGTTCTAAGAGAAAATGAATGAACTTTAAAAGGCATAATACATAATTAATGGAGAGGTGTAGATACCACACATCTGAATATAGAGCTGCACAGAGCGTTTGCAGGATGGTTGCAAAACTTTAAAATGACCTTTGTGTTGGTTCACCACACACACACACTCAAATTCACTCTCACACAAAAGCAAGGTTAAATTGCCCGTACATTGTGTCAGTATATAATTTGAATAATAAAAAAAAAATAAATCACTAATATAATCAAATAATTCCATTGTGATGATTTTCCTTTTCATATTGCTACAGAACGTGAGGGGATATAAACGACTGGGAGATTCTTTACATACTCGAAACCAACTCATCAACTGCAAAAACGATGGTCACATGACTTGATTGAGAAAGCAAAAGCTACAGAATATCTCTGTAATACAGTAATCTCATAATGAAAGGGTGATGCGAATCGTGAAAAAACGTGATAAATGTTTCTTAGATTCAATACAAATCATTTAAGTTTGTACTGATCTCCCTGATCTTCAGAAAACATGGTGTAGTAAACCCCACATGGGGTTGATCAAAAATCAGTCCAGACACATGAGCTGTGATGGCTTTTGGCTTTGTTGTTGTTCTGGGACATAATTAATGCGCTCGATTCTGAACTGAAAAGAGACTGATTGTTGTCGCATCGCTCTCTACATCCTGGAGTCGTTGAGCAGCACATAGGAAGAGTTTTTGGCTTTTTCTTGGCGAGGTCAGAGACTCGCTCTCTCACTGACCACATCCTGCAGGCGTTTGAGCAGCACGTCGTCGTTCTCCTGCCGCAGGCATTTAGATGGAGACTCGGTCTCATCGCCATCCATTGTGAACGCCCGCTTCTTGCTCACCCCACCCTGACGGATCATCTGGTTTATGTCACTCAGCTCCTGAAGAGGAAGAGAAAGCAGAAGGCTTCAGCCACGGCCATAACTGAAAAACCTCAATCTATCTATATCTATATTATGGAGGTCATTAGAAGTTAGGTCGTTAGGAGGATAGTGATGAAACTAAATTTCACTTTTAAAAAAAACTTTTGCTGATAATTTACTCACCCCCATGGCATTCAAGATATCCATGTCTTGCTTTCTTCAGTCGAAAAGAATTTAAGGTTTTTGATGAAAATAATTTAATTTTTCTCCATATAATGGACTTCAATGGGAACCAAATGGTTCAAGGTCCAAAAGACAGTTTCAGTGCAAACTGCAAACTGTTCAAAGGGCTTTAAACGATCCCAGACGACGAATAAGGGTCTTATCAAGCGAAACAATCGCTCATTAAAAAAAATGACAAAGTTTTAAGTTTTATAAGCTCACGAAAAAAGATTCGTTCATTTTGATAAACGAGTTCGAACAGGAGAGTCACGAACGTGCATCACAGAACAGAGCAAGGCGAGCATTTGAGCTTATAAAACTTAAACTTTGTTTTTTTTTTTTAAATGAGTGATCGTTTCGCTTGATAAGACCCTTATTCATCGTCTGAAATCATTTAAAACCATTTGAACAGTTTGCACTGAAAGTGTCTTTTGGACCTTGAACCGTTTGGTTCCCATTGAAGTCCATTATATGGAGAAAAATCCTGGAATGTTTACATCAAAAACCTTAATTTCTTTTTCGACTGAAGAAAGAATGACATGGATATTTTGGATGACATGGGGGTGAGAAAATTATCAGCAAATTTTTTTTTAAAAGCGTACTCCTTTAACTGATTTTTAACTGTAATAATCAGATATAGACACTATAATAATAGTACCCAGTTGCATTATATTTCATTCTACGGACATTTCTCGAATTATCTTCCTTGTGATCGACAGAAGAAAAAAAGGCATACAGGTTTGGAATTTGTGACCAACCTTTGATGGGCTGCCAGTGAACTTGTACGTGTAGGCACTGGGGGTGAGACTCGAGCCGTTTTTATGAGGAGAGACAAAGATGGAGTGTCTCTGAGACACACGGCGAGGAGAGAGAGGCTGAGCCCGAACCGATGGGAATGGGGATAACGGAGGAGCCTCCATCTTTATAGAGAAACAGAGAGAAAGAAAGAAATGCTTGTGTCCAAATTGTCTAAAATATTATTTTTAAGACATGATTTTCAAATGAAGCAAAGCAATTCACCAACCTTGTTATCAAGCGTAGAATGTGCATATTTGAGAGCGAATGATTTCATCTTTAACACATAAACAGAGTTATAGAACTGGATGAGGTCCCCTCTATCCTCTGATTCGCTGTCAGCCTGTTCCATCCTCTCATTGGCTGCTAACATAAACATAAATAAAAACATTACTTATACACAACCATTCAAAAAATTGGGGTCAGAAAGATTTTTTTGTTTTTGAAAGAAGTCTCTTATACTAACAAAGGCATTTATTTGATATATATATATATATATTATATTATATATATATTATTTACTAATATATAGTAAAAACAGTGTGAATGTGAAATATTACAACTTAAAATACAGGTTTTGTGTTTTAATACATTTGAAATGTAATTTATTCCTGTGATCAAAGCTGAATTTTCAGCATTACTCTAGTCTTCAGAGTCACATGATCCTTCAGAAATCATTCTAATATGCTGATTTAATGCTCAAAAAACATTTCTGATTATTATTAATGTTTATTATCAAAAACATGATACATTTTTTCAGGATTCTTCGATGAACAGAAAGTAAAAAAGAAACATTTATTTGAAATGGAAATATTCTGTAACATTAAATGATAACAATATTCTGTAAATGTATTTACGGTCACTTTTGATCAATGTAATGTCGTTGCTGAATAAATGTATTATTTTCTTACACTAGTTTTGAACATTAGTGTAATGTTGTGCTTTTAAAAAAAGGTCAAAGAGTCACCTGGGACGACGACTTCATTCTTACACTGGTCTGCTGGTGGATCCACTTCCATGTTCTCATCTGCCTGCTGCTCTCTGGGACGCCTCTTCAGTAAAACACTGCGGTACACCTACAAACAGGATGTTGTGGATGCCTCATATGTGCTCTCATCACAGGCCAAATTCCAAGCTTTTTGACATTAGGAAGCTGGAGCACGCAGCCATCTTGTACCTTTATTAATAATATTTATGTGCAATTCCACACCGCAGGTTTGGAAAGAGCAAGACTGTTGATACTCACGTGACTGTGGGCCTGAGGTTGGGTTCGGTAGCATTTCATAATGTCCTGAAAAGTGTGCTCTTCTTTCGTTATCTGCAGGAGAAGAAAGTGAATTAAAAAAAGTTTGATATTATATTTCCATCTGATGATTAGAGAATTCTTCAGTAACATATAATGTTCAAATGTTTGGGGTCAATATTTTTTTTTTTAAGAACTGAAAACATAAATTCAGCAAAGATGCATTAATACAACGTTACAAAAGATTTATATTTCAAATGAATGTTGTTCTTTTGAAGTTTTTATTCATAAAAAAATCCTGGGGAGAAAAAAAAATCAGTTTCCACAAACTGCACAACTGTTTTCCAAATTGATAATGCTAAATGTTTTTTTGAGAAGAAAATCAGCATATTAGAATGATTTCTGAAGGATCATGTGACACTGAAGACGAGTAATAATGCTGAAAATTCAGCTTTGCATCACAGGAATAAACTACATATTCAAATATATTAAAATAGAAAGCATTATTTTAAATTGTAATAATATTTCACAATATTACAGTTTATACTGCATTTTTGATCAAATAATTACACCAGTGTTGTGCCTGAACGCGTTCATGTTTTGGGCGAACGTGAACTGAACGTACTGTATTACTGCCTGATGAACAATATTGTGAACTCGTTCATTCAGGTGTCTTCTAACACACACTCACACTAAAACACACATAAACAGGCCTTAATATGTAGCAAAAAAAACACCCAATCTGGCAACACCAGCCACCGTCGACAAAGCGGCGAGCGAGGAGGTGTCGTATGATCATTAAACGGATTTTATGACGAGGTCGGTGAGGATGGGAAAAATCTTACATTTCTGTGCAAACTTTGCCCGTCGATAAAATAATTGTTGTCTGTGGTTGTATTATGGGCTGTTATGTTAAAAATAAATTAAAAAAGAAGCTGGCAACATATGTAAAAAGAAAAAAAAGAACTATGACCTATTTTTCATTTTTTGAAGTATGAACTATGAACTGACCTAGTTCATTTTAAAATGTGTGAACTGAACTTTGAACTAGTTCATGTAGAAAGTGAACTTTCCCCAACACTGAATTGCCATGGTCGGCATAAAAGACATTTGTAGTTCTGCATCTAAAAGATTTATTTATTTATTTATTTATTTATTTAAAAGGGACAATGCATATTGATAAACATTTCAGTAATGTAAATATGCCAGAATTAGCCCCAGGGCTACTTTCCATCTGCAGTCCCCTGTCAGGTCATCACAAAACAACATATAACAAAACTAACATTTAAGTTTAAATTGAATACTACACAGTTTGAAGAACACCTTAAAATTCAGTAACAATTACAAAAGACACCACTGTTTTCAGACAAATTACACATATACAGTAAAGTGCTATTCTATGTATACATGCTGGAATTACGATGTACCTTGGATATAATGTAGATGGCACAGAGCAGCAGCTGGTCCAGGTGTCGGTCCTTCATCAGGTCAGTGCAGTGCAGCAGAGAATGCTCGAAACACGTCCAGATCTTCCCTCGCAGCTCTGAGGAGATATCCAGCTTCAGACACAGGTCTCGCAGACGCACGCTGGCTAAATGATACACCTGAAAGAACGAGCAACAGAATTATGCACTTCTGATTCAATACCAGATCGTCCCCTTGGAATTATAAGGTTCTATCTGCGTTCTGAACACTTTTGAGATATTGAGCTTCAAAGTTTTTGCATTCCAAATAGGAAAATGTGTATGGGGAACAAGTTTCTTTCAAACATAAAAATAACAGGGACCCTAAATGTACAAAACACATCACATAATGTAAATAAATTGTCACAGAATACGAATATGTGAATAACTCAATTTTGACAAAAATGTCAGATAGAACCTTATAATTCCAAGGGGACGAGATGTCAAAAAGTCAGCAAAGAACACTGTTCCTCACCTTCCTGAAGAATAGCGCGAGGGATCCAGTGCGGCGGGGTTTGCTGGTTGCCACAGGCTGTGTGTCGGAGCTGGCGGGTGGAGCTGCGGTTCGGCTGGGGGAGGAGGAGGTCAGTAAGACATGGCCAGTGAGAGGGTTCATCTCATTGGCCTGAAGTTGGATGACTGTGATGCCGCCCATCTCGTTTTTCATCACTAAAGGATACGGAACACCAGCTCATCAACAACAAAATCGAACAAACATCTTTTGGGGAAATGTTTTGCTTGCTATAAGAGGTTGAAAATGAAAATAAAGAGTGGTACTCGGCAGTGGAATAGTGAGCTGCTGGCCGTTTATGGTTGCCATGGAGAGGACAGTCGTTGTGGCGGTGGTGTTCTGGTTGTTTTCCGTGGAGTTGGGGATGATTTTGATGGGAGTGACTGAGATTCTTTTCACTGGGGATTGTGGTGGAGCGTCGTCACCAAACAAGCGCCTCTTAGCGCTGCCAGCCGCTGGAGAGCTGTAGCGATCGTGGAGAGAGAGGGGAGATTGAGGGACGTCTAAGAGAGATAGGACAAAAGAATTACTCAAATGAGTACATCTGATTCAAAATTCAAAGAAAGCATTAAAGCCAATCAAAGATGGATCATTTTTTCAGGGGGGCTTTTAAGTCGGTTAGTTTTGAGGTTGTATATGCTTAGGGGACTAACCTTTAAAGGGATACTCCACTTTTTTTGGAAATAGGCTCATTTTACAACTCCCCCAGAGTTAAACAGATGTGTTTTACCGTTTTCGAATGTATTCAGCCGATTTTTTTTATATTTAGAAGAATATCGATAACTAGACAGTTTCTGGTCTCATTGACTTCCATAGTATATTTTTTTCCTACTATGGAGACCAGAAACTGTCTGGTTACTGATATTCTTCGAAATATCAGAAAAACGGCTGAATTGATTCAAAAACGGTAAAACACAACTGTTTAACTCTGGGGGAGTTGTACAATGAGCCTATTTCCAAAAAAAGTGGAGTATCCCTTTAAATGAACAAATTGAAAATAATATAAATACAAAAAAGTACACATTATTATAACAACTACCATTTAAATTGGTAAATGGACCAAATATGTTCATAATCAAGTTTTTTTTGTCCTATCTAATGCTCTCTAGATTAGAATATCCCTCCCCTTTATTTATAAACATTCATAGGGTCTTAAAGCCAAGCATCATAGAGCAAAGCCTGATTTTGAGAGGTATAGTAGCCTACCTTTGCGTGCGCTGGAGCCCAGGCCTGTGCGGACCTCCCTAATGCGAGGGTGTATGATGGGGGATAGCGCTACCAACGGCAGGTGAGTGGGACCGCCTGCATTGTTGCCCGTGTCAAAACTATTGGAAAAATTTACCTAAGAAACACACACACACAAAATAGGTCATATCTTTAATAAAAATGACCCCCATGATGCTTATACAATCTGTTCTCCCAACAAAGCAGTGAGTGTGAGTGTGTGTATACCTCTTCCACAGTAGGGACTTTATTGTTAGATTTGTTAAGCGCGTTCCACAGGGCCGAGTCTCTAGTCCAGGCTCTGCTTTCCAGCACCTGCTCCTCGATACTGTTCAAATGCTTCACCATGTCTCGGGACAAACCCTCCTCAGAGCGGATGAACACCTCAATCACCTACACAAACACATCATGGACATTTACTTTGCGTTTCAGTTTCCTTTAAAAGTTTGTTGTGATCTTCAGAGACACATCCATATCTACACTAGTACACTAAAAACTCTAACAAGGATAAAAACCACACCCTAAAACTGAAGTGTCTATGCAAGCAGATAATATGAGCTGACACAAGGGGTTCATCGGATCACAAAACTCATGGTTCAGATCATATTATAGTTTTTGAGTCACGGGCAGCAGGTATTTAGAGGCTGCGGTCACTTTAAAACCTAATGCACGGATCCCATGGTCACATGCGCGCCGAATCATGGGGCCACGGATCAACTACGATCCTAGCTGACACCGTTCAGTACCTTGTAAAAGTAGAAAGGTGGGATCTGTAAGATTTCCAATATCCATGGGAAAGTTCTTTGAGAGCTGTACGCAAACAGCACCACCTCCAGACAGCACGCCAACAGAGAGCAATGGAGCACCTCCTGCTCTAACAGGACCTGATAGAGATCAGGAGGAGAGACAATCTCACACAAAAGCAGACAGAGAGAGCTGTCGGTATAGAACATTACATAATATTTGGAAAAATCTGTTTTCCTCTTACTTTTTGGTGATATAAACAGTGAAGAGTTCAAATTTACTAGCACATTTATATTATTTAGCATGGAGGGAGACTTACCGACATATCTTTGCCCTGTAATCTCTTCATCTCCAGAGTCATGATGTTCTCCAGGATCTTGAAGTACAAGATCTCTGCCAGCTTCAGACGATTCTCTGCGAAATCTACACACAAAAACCTACACTCAGTTACATGACAAAATGTGAGGCTTTTCCTAACAGTTCACTTTGTTAGATGTGCAGCATGTCTGACCCATATGTGCTCCTGGCAGGTCATCTGTGGGTTTGGTGTAGGCCTGTTTAAATATCTCTCCCATGGTCTTCACTCGGTTCAGAATGGATTCAGTGGGATTTCGAGAGCAGGAACTATAAAATCATGGCAAAAATCTCTATGAGAAAACAGACTGAAGCCTGAGGGCCATCATGATGGGCATAATTTCAAAAAAATCTAACTATTTGTGCATGGTTTGGTTTTGGCTTTGATACTTGCTTAAATATTTGGACCAGAGCATCACTCGGTGCGTTTCGTAGGCCGGACACCATGCTCTGCAGTCGGCTCACGCTTTGCGTGGCTGAGGAAACGGGGGTGACCAGCACCTCTTTCTCCTTCAAATACCGTCGACCCGTTAGAGGAGTAGAGGGAGCAAGGGATCGTGTCTAGACAAAAATACAACAGGATAGGTCAAGTCACCTTTATTTATATAGCACTTTTTACAATACAGATTGTATCAAAGCAGCTTCACAGTGATTACATGAAAATAATACAACAAAGTTTGTTTCTAGAAGAAAATTGCATCAAAGGACATACACCACCGTCCAAAAGCTTGGGGTCAAAAAGTTTTTTTAAAGGATATAATATGGATAATAATAAGAAATGCTTCTTGTGCACCAAATCAGTAGAGCTGGACCCGAATATTCGTTCAGTGGGTTGGTATTCGATTTGAAAATATGACATTCGAATATTAGTTGTTGTTTTTTGCACACCTGGCATCCCACTTGAAACGGTTCTCATTCGCGCTTGAAAAAGTTTTACACTATAAAATCTGGTCTGGACTACTAAAAGTGTTCCTGCAACGGGAGTATTCTCTCAGAACAGCCGAGTGTGTGTGGACAGAAGTGCATGTCTGCACTTGTATTTTGGGTTTAGCTGCAAAATGTTTTATCCTTTTTACCCGTTGTTATTAATATAAATTAATCTACAGCGTAACTTTGAAATTTTACTGGGACGTCACGATTTCGTCTTTTTTATTTAAATTTAGTTTTTCTATATTTAAGTTATTTGTTTTAGCGTTTTTATTCATTTAAATTTCTTTTTTATGTTTCATTTATTTACATTTCGTTTTTATTTATTTAAATTTATTTGCTATGCTTTATTTATTTAAGTTACGTTTTTTATTTACATTTTTATTTTTATTTATTTAAATTTAGTTTTTATTTATTTAAATCTACATGTCGAGTCTCTCCTGTCAATCTATATTGCACCTAATACGACACTGCCCTTCCTTGTGAAGTCGTTTGGATGAACGGTTCTCGAAATAATCAAAATGCAAACGGACAGACAGATATATAGAGATTCCGAAGCTTCGAATATTCGATGTTCATTACTACCGAAGCTTCGAAGCTCAAAAAAAGGTATTCGGACCAGCCCTACAAATCAGCCTTTTAGAATGATTTCTGAAAGATCATGTGGTACCAAACACTGAAGTAATGATGCTAAAAAAACAGCTTTGCCATCACAGGAATAAATTACATTCTACGATATATACTGTAGAACTCTATTTTTATCAAATAAAGGCAGCTTAAGTTTGATGATCAGGATGTTAAATGTTACTCTAATGCAGAAACAGTAATAAAAAGCTTCAGTACCTTTTCAAAGTGCTGCTGAAGGTTGTTCTCCACCTGCATGCGGGCAGATAGCTGACCTGAAGGAGGATCAGCAGTGGATTTGCGAGGTGTGCCGATCTCCTCATCTGCATCGGCCCCCAAAAACACTCGCTCGTCAAAATCCCCCACAGTCAAAACATATTCCTCATACTCACGATTTACGGCTTTACTGAAAACACAAATATATTCATATACAGGTGCACACTGGAAACAGGCATTCAATTTGATGTGTGTTTAAATGCATTTTGTGTTTAAATAAATTTGCTTTGCTTACTTGTTGTCTTGGAAATTTGGGGTGTCCAGTAATTCAGTCAGAGTGTCAACATCACCTTTTAATATCTGGGAAAGAGAAAGTGGGAAGCATGCCCAAGCTGTAAACCAGCAATTGTGTTGTGTTCTAGCAGTGTAGATTGGTTGTAAAAGTGTGTATTTCTCACTTTTTTCTCAAACAGTGTCTTTATGTAGGGTTTGAAGTAGTGCTCCTTTATGCCTTTGGCCTCCACCACCAAACCATCATGCAGTTCACACAACTTGTCAATGACACAGGGCATCTCCTCCAAGTTTTCTGTGTCCTTTGGCAGTCCTACACAAAGTGAGTAACAGACTCTCAATGAAGCATTTACATTCATTTACATACATACATTAACACACGTTTATTTTTCACAGATACAAATCAAGAGTCTGTAATTGAATCTGATAAAAACAATACAGTACTATGATTGGTGATTCAGGATTGTTGTAATTATGTAAAAGCTTTTAAACCACTACTATGCCAGTTAGAAATCAATACAATGCAAATGATATATAAACTTGACATAAACTTGAGATGAATCACCTGAAATGAAACAAGTTTTTAGCTCCTAAATTTTGCCATATGTATGCTAGTGAACTCAAAGTTGACTAAATAAGGTGGACTGAAACTATAAAGTGCATTATTAGTCACATAAATGAAAAGATATTGGGGATAAGCACTTGATTTGTTCTGTTGCTTGCCACAACTTACTACTTCAACACAAAATACAGGAGAGAAAACAGAGCCCGGGATACTTCTCTAGAGCCAGACCGATATATCGGCAGGCCGAAATTATCGGCCGATATTAGGTATTTTTTTTCAAACTATCGGTATTAGCAGTTATAATGGCCGATAAATGAATAGTTAGAAAATAAAATAAAAACGGACGAAACACGCTTGAACCATGTCATGAGTGTTGGAGTTGTGTAGTTTGTCCACCAGAGGGCACTCAGTCATCTGTCTGTTCTGTTGTGACAATTAAATGCAATGAAATGTTTCTTTATAAAATGCATTATCATATTATTTTAGTTAAAACTCATAAACAACTACAAATAACTAATGTTAGGGAAATCTGTTCATTTTTTGTTGCGCGTTTCGGAAAAAAAAAAAAATATATTGGCCGATATATCGGAATATCGGATTTTAAAACCAACAAATATTTGAATCGGTATCGGCCTTCAAAGTCCTTTACCGGTCGGGCTCTACTTCAGACGGTCATTCATTAGGAGTAATAATAGGCTGCACTGTTTTAAATGCACTAAAACTTCACCTATACAGTTAACAGCACATTAACTTTACAAATAATAAAAGATATCTCACAACTAGGGCACTACTTTGGCTAGTAACTCCTCTGACGCAAACAATGGGCTCCCTTGTATCTCTGTCTGCCTTTTCAAGGATAATGATTTGTAAACAGAAAATCAATCATCAATCAAGGAAACATTCTCTCACAGCAAAGGTGAAGGAAGGGAACTTTACCTCTGAAGTGTTGATTGATGAGATCTTTCCTATTGGAGCACATGAGAGCGTTGCAAAACACCAGGTCCAGACAGCAGAGCAGGAGGTGATAGGAGTTTACCAGGTCATCTCCAATCATGCGGAAATTACCTGGAATGAAGTACAAATCATGTCATTAACTTTACCATAGCGTTCAGATAAGTCAACAAGAATGTTTGCGGCCAAATCTGTCAAATACGTACGTAGTATTTGTTTTAAAAAGTATTCGAATAGAGTGGGGTCAGTAAGATTTTTTTTCCATCTATAATAATACTGTTCGTTTTCTCACACAAACCGCTCGTTTCGTGTCTCAGGCCATCAATGTGTACTTACATTCACGAGTCATTAAATCATGTTTCATTTGGACTTCTCTGTGCATGCTCTTTGAGGTGGTGACCATAGACCTCCATTATATGACTGACAGACAAGAACGGTTTGACCTAATTGAAACTACCGCGGAAACAAAGACACCTACATCTCGGATGCCCTTGAGGTAAGCTAAAACATACCAAAAATTTATTTCAAAGTGAATTATCCCTTTAATAGCATTATTTATTTTAAGTGTAATGATGGTCTATGGTTCAAACAGGGAAGGCTTCTTTCAGTCAGCTTACCTTTTGTATACACAAAGAGAGTCCAACAGAACTTGAAGACGTCACTGACGTGGCATGGAAGACGCCTACACAGAAAGAAATATATTTGTAACCTTTTTCTTTTTCAAAAGAAAGCCGAGAAAGGCGATAAAAAGCAGGCCGTTTTACCGGTGTTTGCGGCTTCTAGGCAGGCGAGGAGGTTCGCCCTGAGGATTCTGAAACATGTCCAGAAATATTGGCTCAAATTTTCGGAAAATCACTGTCGACACTTCGAAATTGCGCTCTAGTCGACCTATGCGGCTGCGGAAATCCTGAGAGAGGTTCGACATGTCCGACCATTTCTTCATCTTGCTGAAGAACTGGATCAGACTAGAAGAAAGATATAACACAACACTCATATCTTAAGATACACACCTACATTTATTTGAAATAAAAAGACTTGAATGCATGAAATAAATGCTTTTGACATCTCTTCTTATTCTTTAAAACTTTTTTATTATATAAACTGAAATTATGACAGGAGATGTCCATACCGGAGATATCTGTCCATCCCTGTTTGAGGTCCTTACCTGAGCTTGGCTGAGCGCAGGATCCTGGTAAGGGAAACACAGTTGCCCTCCATCACGCCCCGTCCCACTGTAGGGATAGAGCCCTTCCTACAGGCAACATACAGAGAACAGGCCAGCCAGTGCGCGACATCACCCTGAGACAACCACACATGACAGAAATTAAGATAAATATGTCGCACAGCTGAATTATCCCCATAAAACCTAAAGTATCAGTATCATATTTAATACATGAATGGTTAAGGCCTCTAAATGACCAACATGATCAAAACTACATGAATTGCCCTCAAAATGTTTTAGCAATTAAAATGGCTTTTAGTAGTATAATGCTAAAATGTCCAAAATGTGAAATATTTTCTGCTGTGAAATATATATATATAACATATAAAAACAACTTTTATATTGTTTGTAATATTTTAAGACGTACATTTTCTGGACTAAAGCAACTTCATTATATTAATGATGTACAATGTATAATATCTGATAAAAAAGAAAATAAAAAATGTGCATCTTTGTTTTATTTTGTCTAAAGGTTGAATAAACTGTTCAGTTAAAGAAAATTGTTTCACATCTTTACAGGGTTACAATGAGCACCACTAGTAAACATGTATAGAGAAGTGAATGCTACTATCCACATATATTCTATTTCTAACAGTAAAAAAAATAGTTGAAAATTTAATCTTTCCCAGAATCCCCTTCTTTTCTTTGTTTATGTCATGTGACATAATAGAAGCCTCTGTCATTTTAGACGGACATAATTAATTTAAGTTTATTGTTTTCTGTTTTGAAAAATGGTATAACTTTGACATATGTTTGGACATCGACCATGATATTATTTGAAGTGCTTTAATTACCATGGCACAATATGGTAAAATTGTATATAATATACTGTGGTGATACCATGATAAAACAATGGAGACAGATGAAAACACCGTGTCACGTTAGCAAAATAACATGGTACTACTAAGTACTATAGTATTGTTGGAAGTGCCATGTAAATAATAGATATTTTATGGTACGCCAAGGAGAGCACCAGTCCAGAGTGAATCGCGTAACGTTACTTGTTGCAATCTCTTAGACTAGTTAGGGTCTGTAAAGGAAGCTTTATTAGCTGGTAATGGTTGTTTGGACTATATATCTGCATGGAAACAAGGGTGAGTTGAAGGCAGAGCGCGAGATGACAGCTGTTCCTGTCGTTTGGTTGTTGTGGTAACGTTAATGTGAATTAAAGTGGAACCTCTAGCGTGTACGTGTTCCAGATGGAGCTGAAGTTCTGGAGCGCTTCGGCTGCCGTCTCCTCGTCCATATTGAGCTCTTGACAAAGCGCATCGAGATTCCTCCGTATCGAGCCATCGTCCGATTTAACCGACTCCGAATCAGTTTCATCTCCCCGCATCGCTGTAATCCGTAAAATCCGTTAATATCCAAAGAAAGTGTTTGGGTAAAGCGGAATTGACCCGGAGCGTCGCTGACCTCCTGATGCTATCCCACAATGCCGAGACATACGAATGGCGCGAAAACGGGCTCCTCTCAGCCAATGGGAGAGCAAGACGAGATGGCGTCATTACAACAACAAAGACGACAGCGAGGGGTAGCATGGAGGATTTAAACTACCCCAGTGTTTACTAATATATTATACAAAAATGTAAAGGATATAAATGCATGCTGTTTTACTTTTGTTTCATATTTTGGTAATATTATTTACCACTTCGTACAGAAATGTAATAATGAGATTTGTCATGTTATGCAAATACTATTTATTTTGCGTACTTATCTTGTATTATGTGACGCTTATCCGTGAATACTTAAGTTATACTTTACATAAATATAATTAGAAATAATTGTAATTAAGTATTTTTTATGTCTAATGATTATATGCTACACAACGAATATCAGCAAATCTAGACATTAAACTAGAAAAAAAAGCTTGGATATATATATATATAACGTTATATTAAAAAAAAAAAAAGTTTGTCATACAACAACTAACTGATTAACATCAGACTTATTGACTTGAAAGTTGAAAGTCATCTTTTATTGCACAATAAAAGATCACATACCATGGTTTGAATTATATGATTGGTCCACATCGGTGTACAGGAGCTATTTGAACAAAACAAATAAAATATCCCAAATAATAATAATAAAAATATATAAAAACACCCACAACTCTCAGCATTGCTGCAGATTTCATACCAAGAGTATGTTCACTTTTTTGTCTTGTGTAATCACCCCAATATAGTGCACTTGCTTCAAATGTAACCACAAACTTACAGTGCTTCCTTGTCATGAACACTGACCATTATTAGTTGCATCAAAACCATTCAATATTATTTTACAAGATCTTGAGGAACAGAACTTCCAATATAGGCTCGATAGAGATGAAAGCGCATTTCTACATGGTACACAATGCTCTAATGTGCCTTGAACACTAAGGACTTGACCCCAGATTTTATTCTGTCTGGCTAAGCAGCTCCGTTATAAGAAACACTCCATAGTAGCCTGCCTTGCATACACTTAAGTATGGGAACAGCTTCAAATGCAAAGACTGGGTCTTATTAGCAGGTCCTGGCATGCAAACACTGACAATGGCCAAGCAAAATCCAGTCTCCTACTACGTGCATATTTAAAAGCATTGGAAATATTCAATGCAGACAGAGTCTGATCAAATGAGACTGGCGTATGGTACCAAACAATTCCCAATTCTCTTGTTCCCCATCAGAAATGCACTATGCAAAGCTACTAAAATAATCTCCCTTTGATTAATCCATGGAAAATGGAGGTAGAGGGCTGAGGGGAAAGGCTTTTTGCTCTCAAGGAGCAATTATCCAGAGACATCTTTTTACACGTGGATACAGTCAGCATTACCATTTGCAGAACAGTTCAGCTTTTATGGAAAGTAAAATGAATCAGTGTTAAAATCAAATATAGGAAAACAACCAAAACCTTGAGACAAAGTTTATGTGCATGTTGCAATACACAAGGAGACAGTAATTTTTTTGAGACAGTAAAACACAATAAATACAGGTCAAATTTGAAATTGATCAGACTTTTGGATGAACTAACAAACCGTTTCAGTTGGGGGAGAAAGACAAAAATAGTTATTTGGAGTGTTATTTAATTCATTGATCTTAAAATGGGCCCAGATACTGCACTTTCTTTTCAAACACCATGTTTGAATTAAACAGGAGTGTTTTTGAGTTTGCAACAATATTGTTGGGTTTTCAAACTATACATTTCCAACAAACGGTACATTAATAAAACCATTACACTTACAACCAGCAATGCAGCATTCTCAGCCTAACAGTCTGAACTCTCCATTTGTACATATACTGGCTGTGCTTCTCGAAGGCCTTTAATGGAGTTACGAACTTATCAAAATGTCAAAAAGCGAGGGTAACGTAATCATCCAGAGTTATAGACTGGGGTTGTTTTCACCAGATGTTACTGAGACAGTAGTGTAGGGACAATAGAGAAAGAGTAGAACTAAACTTTCAGACTAAAAATGAGACATTTTTGAAAGTCAGATAGACTTTGTGCTTCACAATACTGTTTTGAATGAATTGAGAGAGGAATTAGACCTGGTTATGTCATTTGAATAGTGTTACGACTTGAAAAGCACTCCAGAGACCAGTATCTGTACAACTAGAGCGTCTGCATTTTAACCTGTATGACCGAGTCTGCTTCCCAAAACGTTGACACTGTACACAAGTACTTCGATATATATTTCCCCAACATAAAGATGTAACAAACATCCATATATAAAATGCTAAATAAGGCATTGCAAAGTGAACACAAAAAGATGTGATGAGAAAAGGGAAATATTAGGTGAATCTGGAAAAGTAAAAAAAAAAGAGAAATAAAGCAAAATAAATTACATTATAGTGTCACAAATAGTGTGACAAGGCAACAACAGCATGTTTTTTGAAGGTGACCATGATTTTTTGTTGTTGTTTAGACAAGAAATATACAGTACAGGTTTACATAGGTCAAAATGTACAAGAAGTGACATGTGCAAGCGTGCGCATGCTTCCACACAAACACACAAACAAACAAGACGGAACACAATTACAGGTAAACATTCACCAAAAAGACTGTGCAAAAACGTTTTCACATCCGAAAACTGAAAAAAAAAAAAAAAAAATGAGTAAGATGAGAAGGTGGAAAATGACTACTCCCACAAAAGAGAGACCCTGTTGCGATTGGGGGAGAAAACAAGTTAAATCATCTCTGGTTATCAACTAGTGTAAAGTATTTCAAACGATGATAAAAAAAAAAAACTCACTAGTGCTGCTTTTTTTCTTTACACGTCCCCCCCAATATGAGACATACTGGCAAGGAAAAAAAAAATAACATTGTGTGCTTGTAAACAAAAGTAACAGCAATATACAGCTAGATAGATTTACATGTTTTCAAAAATCTTGGTAGGTTTTACTTTACAATATTTTCAAATGAACCAGAGAAAACAAGAGCAATGAAACCCGTGAGAACGAGACGATCTGACGTCTTCCTGTCGACCCACAGGGCTTTAGTGAATGCAAAAAAAAGGAGATATTTTTGTCTTATTCTGGGTGATGAAATACATCACCCAAAATAAAGCGTTCTGGCATCATTTACTCACTTCCAAACCTGCGTGACTCAGTGAAACAAAAGCACAATGACCAGGACTTATCAAGCTCCAAGAAGGACAAAAACACAATAAACAGTTCAAATTAATTACGCACTATATCCCAAGTCACACAATAGCTTTGCATGAGGAAAAGTGTAGTTGCATGATTATTTTTGAAGCTTGACAGCCATTTTATGCTTTCATTGGTGCAATGTGAGCATTATGCTTTTGTGCTCCACAGTCAGGGGGTGACTAAATGATGACAGGGGACTATCCCTTTAAATTCACTAAAACACAGTTCTCACAATTCTGCTACAAACGCTTTGCGTCAGGCTTTTATTTTACCAAAACATTTTAGAACCGAGTCTCCTCTATGGCACCAATGCTTTGCCCTTGGACCCCCCAAGTACACATAACCATCTATATAAACGATTATTAGCATCGCAACGGGGCACCTTATCAAAAGCGACAATGTGGAAATGACACCAAAAACAGTAAGACAAACAAAAACAAAAGATAAATCAATTTTGTTTTGGATTGTTCTTTGCCATCAACTTCAAGCCTTGCTCTTTTTGAGTTTCCATTGCACTCACCATGTTGCACTCATGCCATCTATAGCTTTGTAAAAGATTTACGTTAAAATCTTGACTAAAATGAATACATAGCAGCAAGCAACTAAGAACAAAATACTGTGGTCCATCAAGAACGAATCAGACGCAGCACTGCTGGTAATCTACCAATGGGATGAGCGTTTTTGTCTTTACATTATTCCGAGAAATGTTTCATGACTCTAGGTCTTAACTATAAAAGCATGATCCGAACCACCATTATGGAGTGAGACTGTTGTCTTTTTTTTTGCAAAATACCAACATCCTACCACTTTCTGAGAATCTGTGAAAGATGCCATTAAATAACACCTAATCGAGAGGGGGGGTCACTAAGCGCGTTCTCCGTCAATAGACAGAGTCTTCCGAGTGTCCATTCCCATGATGCAAAAGGAACCTGCTAACAACAATGATGATGTCGCCCCGTTGTAGGATTCAAGACCTCTGAGCGTTTGCATGCTTCAAGTGTCTATTTCTTTAGCACACACCCAGAAGGTAGAGTAGATGTCAGTGAAATTACAAGGGCGGATCTATAAACAATACATTGATAATCAAAGTCCTATACACAAACTTTTACCGACACGACACACACAAAAGTACTGCGGCCCAAACGTGAGGACGCATTCTAGTCTCCGCCGTCACACGGGCCTTGAGAATCTTGCTCAGGTTCTTCTCCCGTTTTGTTTTTTTCCTTTTCTTCAGTACTTTTATCCTCGGAAGGATCTCGTATATGGTCATGAGAATCTTTGACCAGATGTCCATCTTCCTCCATTACACCCTCTTGGCTCTTTCGTTCGGGCGTCTGTTCGACTTTAACCCCCTTCGATTCCTCGCCGTCCATCTGCACGCCACCGTTCCCGTTTCCCTCCGCGAGTCCTTCCTCTCTGACCTTCTTCCTCTTCCTCTTAGGGCTGCCCGTGCTGTCTGCTGCAGGCATCGCGGGCAGTGCCATTATACTGCCTGGCGGCAAGAACATATGCGGATACAACAGACTATGTGACATTCCCGGGATTAGAAAGGGGTTAAAGGTCAAATGGCTGCCGGTGCTTGTGATGCAACTACTACTACTGCTGCTAGTGGGCGCAGCTGTAGACACCGAAGCGGACACTTTTTTCTCTTCTCCTCCTTGCTTCGTTTCCTCCTTAATCCAGGTCTCCGTGCTCATCGGAGAGCTCGTGTTATCCCGCTGAAGTGCGGTGTCCGAACTTTCCGGCGGGCTTGAGGTTGAGGTTACGGTTGCGGAGTTCGTAGTCACGCTCGCTGTCGTGGATGCAGTTACGGTGGACATAGTGGATGTCGCCGTGGAAAGCGACTGACTCATCATCCCACTCATGTGAGCGCTATACATGGGCGGCTGCACGGCCGCCATGCCATGGAGCATCATGGGCAACATGCCGAGACCATTCTTGGCATCGTCTCCTGATGTTACAGCCGTGGCGAAACCATGAGGAAAGCCCATGATACCGGTGAGTGGGATCCCAGGGACATTGCGGAGATTGGGTAAACTAACCAGGTCCATGCTGCCAATGAGCCCACCGTTCATGAAGAGCGGAGCCATGCCAGCGGGGAGCTCGGGGGCTTTGGGCATCTCGCTGCGGGGTCGTCTGCCTCTTCGGCGTGGACCGGGATCCCGACACACAGGTCCGGTGAGGATGCGTGCGAATTTGCCCTCCGGTAGAAAACCCTGGGATGTGAAAACATTATATGTTCATTCAGTATATCAAAGATTGTATTAAAGGGATACTCCACTTTTTTTTGGAAATAGGCTTATTTTACCACTCCCCCAGAGTTAAACAGTTGGGTTATACCGTTTTCGGATGTATTCAGACGATTTTCTGATATTTAGCAGAATATCAGTAAACAGACAGTTTCTGGTTTCATTGACTACCATAGTATATTTTTTTCCTACTATGGAAGTCAATGAGACCAGAAACTGTCTGGTTACTGATATTCTTCGAAATATCAGAAAATCGGCTGAATGGATTCGAAAACGGTAAAACTCAACTGTTTAACTCTGGGGGAGTGGTAAAACGAGCCTATTTCCAAAAAAAGTGGAGTATCCCTTTAATGAAGTTAAATTTGAACATAAATGAACAAGTTTAAAGATAATTAAGTTTAACAATTAATTAGAAATCAGGTACAACGATTTCATTTAGAACTCTCTGGAATTCTCGATTCTGATTGGTCAATAGCAGAATTCAAACTTGAATGGATTTCAGTAAAGTACAGAATAAGCAGATATGATATTTTCTAAAAAATAATTTAAACATTTAAACAAATTTAGACACCCTTATAACATATTAATATACAATAGAGTATTGCAGACTCTAGCATAGGCTATTAGCGATGTCCCTATGTGGGATTTCGTGCAGGTGACATGAACTCAGAATCTGTGAAATGACATAATAAGATTAGCAGACATTAGCAAATGCTTTTCATCCAAGGAAAACTATTAGGATCTTATTACGATTCTGTCTCAACCTTGATAATTAAGATTTATTCAGTTATACTGTATTACTACAAACTACATATTCACAAGTGGCTTCAGTGTCTGTCTCTTTCTAGATAGAATATGTAGGACTCACCGAATGCTTCACCACATCTGCCCAATCAGGAGCCACAGAGTATTCGGAATTTGCATCCAGCCATCGAGAGAGCTCTTTAATGGCTGGAGCCATAGCGCCTCCAAGCTGCAACCAGAGGAATTGTGGTGTTAAAATTAAACAAAATCAAACCGAGGAAACTAACAAAAACAAAAAATGCTGTGTGTGTTTTTGTTACCCTGCGGCCTGTGTTTCTGTGCACTACAGGGACCCTCTCCTCTCCAGTTAGAGAGCTGACGTCGAGCTTGGTGGGATCTTTGCAGCGATGTCTTCTTTGCTTTGGACGCTCCAAGAAACTGTGCAACATGTTCGCATTCTGAGACTATGAAAGACATACAGAATTAGGTTATTAATTAAGTTATAGCAATATATTAAATGTCAATTATATTATTTATATTAAGGCGTATATAAGCTGTATACACCAAACATACACAATTAGGATAATTCAAATATCTTGGTGACAGTGGATCGATATATAATTTAAATATCTTTTTAAAGCACACAAAAATAAAGAGACAATACCATTAAAAGTCGACATGAAACAGCATTCACATCTATTTTAGCACTACTACTAATGTAGTAATTTTATCCAATGGAAATGTAATGGATTGTGTAAACTACAGAATAATGTGAATGGAATTATGCCCAATAACAAGAGAAACATTAATTCAGAAATAGGGACAATTTTGATTTCATGTCATCTTTTAACAAGTCCGCTTATAATTCTCAAAAGAAAAAGCCACAGAAAGATTACTTTTAGTCCCACAACATAAAACTTTTCTGTTTCTAACTAACCGATGGAAAAGCAGACAGCTCCATGTTGTAGTTGGGGTTTTGTCGGAGCCATTCCATTAGGCCTTTATTGGCCGTTTCCCTGTCCACGCTCACATTCAGAGTCTCTGAGGATGGAGGAGGAGCTGGAGAGTTTGCTGGAGGGAGAGTAGGAAGTGTAGTCGGGGTGGATGGAGGGCATTCTGACTGAGAGGATGTTGAGGACACAACAGGCTGGCTGATGCTCTCTGACCCACACTGTGTAATATACAAAACACATGAATGATTAATATTTATTTAATTTAACAAATTTAATGAATAATATTGTTAATATATCAAATTAAATATTAATATATAAACAATTTTAATTAATTAATTTAGTGTCATAAGCATCAAAGGCTTTTTTTTTCATGGCAAAATTACCGTAAGTTTAAAATTAGGAATGTGCAAAAATTAATTGCGATTAATCGCATCCAAAATAAGTCTGTGTTTACATAATATATTTGTGTGTGCTTTATATAATTATTTTGTATGTATAAATACCTATGCATGCATGTATTTATTTAAGAATTAAATTCTGTAATTCTTGTAATTAAATTCAATTAAATTCGCCTATATTCTGTATATATATATATATATATATATATATATATATATATATAAAGATTTGGATGCAATTAATCGCAATTCATTTTTGCACAGCCCTATTTAAAATAAAAAGATTTTTTTATATTTTCCTGGTAAAACTTATGAAAAAAAAAAAGAAAAAGCCACTTTCTGGGGGAGGAAAAGCCATTGTTACTTTTATAAAGCTTAGCTTACTTATAAAATAAACTTTAAAAAAAAATACAAAAAGCAACATGAAAGCAGCCCATACGACTTCTGATGAAGACTTTAATCTTTGCTGGTGTTTGTCTTAAGGTGGATAGAAGAGAGCAGCAGATTCTGCAGACATCTGCTTTTATGTTTCACAAAACTAATACTATGAGGCTAGAATGACATGGGGACATGTTCCTTTTTGGGTGTCCTATTGGATCTATTTCAGTGATACGCGGTTCCACAAACCTGTTGTTCAGGCAAGTTCATGGCTCGTCCCTTCATAAAGCCGAGATCAGGAGTCTCTACATTTCTTCTTCGTCCTCTTCTCCGTCTCAACATTGAATCATCCCGACGAAGACTACCGTTGACAATCTGCCCTGTGACAGGATGAATTAAGCCAGCCTGCAAAATGCCAGCCATATCCAATCCCAGTGAGCCTTGTATGGAGCCTATCCCGGTTATTTTGTGGGGCGTTGACTGGACAGTGTGGCTCATATGACTGATTGGCCCACTGTCTCCACCAACTGTTAGTTCAGATGGTTTGGAGAGGTCAATAGCAGCATCCTGCCAACCATTAAGGAGAAGAGCGTTAGCACGATGAGACGTGCCAACCTGGATCTTTTCTCCAAGATGGCTTGGTTTGGCAAGAACTTCTGCCTCAAATTCAAACCCACGCCTGGGACGTTTGAGCTCAGAGAGAAATGCCGGGGCAACTAACCGCTCCTGTTGGGGCAAGAGTTGTAAATCAATTGGACTGTGTGTGTATGACATTCAAGATTAGCATGATTTTTCAGGCCTCAAAAATCACGTTGGAAATGTCTTGATATTTCCAGGCAATTTATTTAATTTATTTTAAGACATTTCCAAAACTTGCTTTGAATTTGCAGACAAGTTGAAAAACATCCTGTCTGTGAATGTGATGATCTTACCTTTGGTAAGTGGGGTACTGTATGTGGGAGGTTGAAGTTAAGGCTCTGAGATATAGGCATTCTGGTAGTCAGAAATCCTGCCCTCTGGTGGGCACTGCTAGGCATGCAGGTGTTAGCCAATGCAGAGGGAGACTCATACTGTTGACTAGAGGAAGGCCACTTCCCCTTTAAGATAGTATGGCAGATACTGTCAATACGGTTGATGATCACTCTGTCCTGTAGAAAACACAAAAACACAAGACGGTGTATGAAATGGATCAAACTGCAGCAATAGGTGACTGATACATGTCTAGTAAGCTAAAACCAGCTTTACCATTTACATTACAAGACAAGATTTAGTTTATAGGAAAAGTATAGGAATATTTATAAGTATATATTTTAGTATAGGACATACAGGAAGGAAACAATCACTAACATGACAATACCTTAGGCCACTCTGAGAAGGAGAAGAGTGCTTTCTCCTGTAAAAGCTGAGCAATGGTTGGTTCCCTTATTTCATGGACACTGTCTCCCATCTCGCACATGGGCAGCGCAAAGCGTGGTGCATCAACATCTCCCAATAATCCTAAAAAAAAGGAATACATTTATTCAAAGCATGTTGCTAAACAGACTAAATCACACACTCAAACTTAAATTCTTTGGTTTTAAAAACATTGTGAGAAAATCATTCAATCATCAACATAACAGAAAACATTAAGTAATTCCATCCATAGATATCTATATAAAGGCTAGATATCTCGTCCGCGCTGCTGGCCAATGGAGGTCAACGTCAGCACCTGGCGGCCATCTTGTCACAGGCAGCTCGCTCACTGGTAACATTGTTTTAATGGTGCATGTACTTTTTAAATCACCGTAACTTGCTCAATTTTCAACCGATTTTCAGTCTGGTTTGTTATAAACGGCAGAGATGTAGTTATGATACTGCATACTTATGAATAATAAGTGTATAAATAATATAAATAATCATCCAGAATTATAGCCACATTAATAACGTTTGTAAGAAACCAAACCGTTTGTAAATCCGTCAAGGATCCGTCAATAAATGTCAACGAGATAAGAGTATTTCTTACGTCAGATACCACAGAGCCCGCCAGAAAGCATGTCTGTGACAAGATGGCCGCCGGTGATGACGATAAATACTCCGCCGTGAGACATCTAGCCTTTATATAGATATCTATGATTCCATCAACCAAATCGGTCTAGTGTTTGTCAACGTTTAGAAATAACTAATGACAAACATCAAAAATGTCCAGTCAGGAGTCAATTAATCTTGCTTGTATAATCTTTTTGACCTAATACAGTTTCGTCCTTAAAACTAGTTTGTACATCCTCATGGTACCAAACAAGTGAGCTTAAAATAGCCAAAGTTAGTTTGCTGGTCTCTCAACCCTGCTCAAGCTGATCTGGTTAGTTTGTGGACACGTATAAGGTGGTAAGACTAGGAGAACAAGCTGAACACCAACTTGGCCAGGCTAGAGGATCAGCAATACAGGCAAACCAGCTTTGGTTGAAGATGTTTTTCACCAAAAGATAAAACAACCCAAGTTGCCATTACTAGTAGTATTGAGAAACATGATTGTGGTCAATAGACTTGGAACTAGTGCATACGGTACATAAAAAGGTAGAAAGTCCACAGCCACAATACCTGATGTCTTCGCATCTTCGTCTTTTATCTTGTCCTTTACATCCAAAACCTCAGTCTGCTCGAGGTGAGGGGTCTGCGTAGTGCTGTCTGGCTCAGGCTTCACATCTGACACCACTGGATCCATGAGGAACTCTTGTTTAGGGACTACATCAAGGACCGGAGATGCAGAGGTGTCAGGTAAGGTAGTTGGAGATGATGGGAGTGAAGGAGGCAAAGGGTAATCTGTTGAGAGGGTAGTGTTAGTTAGATTGCACTCTTCTATTGGCTCTGGTGGTTCTTTGCAGGCTTCTTCAGAGGGTTCTTCCACCATTTGCTGTTCCGCTGAGTCTTGCTGAAACCCTTCACAAGGTTCCTGCAGGGTCTCGTCGCAAGTCAGATCATAAGACTCCTCCAAAGGCACTTTTTCTGGCTCTCTTAGAGGCTTCTCGTAAGATTCTTCCAAGTCTCCTTCATTGGAATCGTCAAATGTCACCTTGCAGTCCCCTTTTTGGCATTCCTCAAGACAATTTTCCCTTGGAGACTCTATTGAAGGCATCTTGTCAATTTCGTCTTGAGAATCCTTAGTCTTCAGACTGTCTGGAGAAAGGTCTTCTTTCTCAAAATGGAACCCCATGCTTTCAGCACCTTCTCCTGGACTGGGAACACCCTGTGTGATGTTGGAATCACTAAGCTTGTCCTCTTGATCCTCACTAATGGGATCTGCCTGGTCAAGACTAACATCCGGGAGACCAAGAGGTGGTGGAACATAATCTGGAAGACTGGACGACAAATCTGTCTGATCCACAGATGCCTCTCCAACATTAAGGTCTTTGAACAACATAAAGCTTGGTGCCAGTGGCTCGACAGGGTTGCTTTGAGAGTCCGAACTGGGCATGCTCAAACAGTCGGTTAGTGTTTCATCACCCTCCCGTCCATCGTCTGGTTGAGGAGGATCCAAAAAGCTTGGTTCCAAAGCTTGTGCTCCCAAAATGGGATCAGTCTCGTTGAACATGTCAGAGGTTTCAACATGGTCTGAGCTTTCCCATGGAGTTTGAAGTTCATCGAGTTCCACAGAAGGAGCCATTAATCCAGTCTCCTCCGAGGACCCTTGCTCTCCCACCAGAACATCGCTGCGAAGTTTCCCAGCTATGGAGTCCGCCATATCTCCTTGAGCCCCATTTAGCTCCCCCTGCACACCATACGAATTTAGCATATTCAGCCCACCAGTTGCAGAATTGAACGGGAATCCATTGAAGGCCTCTTTCCCAGATTTGCTATGTAGTGTGTCGGATGTCAAACCTTCATGTTGTAAAGACCCCAACTCCAGTGAGTCATCTAATGGAGGGCAGTCCAAAAACCCTTCCCTGTTTCCTGAACCTATTCCCAGGGAACTTCCTGGCTCTGACGCTACCACTTCTGTGGGCTGGTGATGCCCATGAGTATGGACAAGTTGTGTTGGTGTGTGGGGTGAAGGTGTGTGGTGATACTCCGGAGGTTGTGGGGATTGACAATGTCCAAGGTTGGCATCATACAAGCAGCAATGATGGTGAGGCAAGCCTGGGACTGGATATCTGTGGTTTTCTTTATGAACATAGTTCCGATGGGCCTCCAGGAAGGATAGTTGTGGGTCATTGAGGATGTAGAAGTCAGTTCGACTCAAGCCATGCTTAGCAACACCGATGAGAAGATCACGATCATGCTTGCCGCACTCCCACCAGACGGGTAAGTACAAACTAGGGCGACAAAGTTGCAGTCGTGCCCCCAGGAGTGGGTGCCGCAATACTTGCTCACGGACCTTTCTCAAAAGCTCAATACGGTATAATGTTCGGGCAGCTCGCTCTTCTGTAATGGGTTCCACAAACAGCGAAGGATCAACTGAACCTATATGAGACAAGGATGTGTGTATAGGTTATGAGATTAAGGATTCATTTTCTCACCAAACGATCTCTAATTAGTTTGTTCGTCTCAAGTCTAATATCCGTTTTACCTTCATCTTTTCTAGGGGGCAGTCTACATGCAGTGCGACACATTGAAACAAAGCTGTGGAAATATCTCTCCAAGCTTTCGTCGGTCTTCCTCTCCAATCGAGCAAGGGCACGGAACTGGCCCCAGTCAAAGATTTTCTTTTCTGGATCATACACTACTCCAAACGAAGACACTGTGCGATAGAAGTCAGCCTGCTCACGACGCGTCCACCTGTGTTAAAGGCAATATGTTATCTCAGGAGTACATAAATATCTGCCTTAAATACTCAATTAACAGATTTTCAGCTATCATAAACTATTAACCTCTTACCTGATGCAGTACCAAATTACTATTCTTACAATGTACATTATGACCTTTCAACATGTTTCAGTGTTATCCTAGCCAATAACTATCCTCCAGGATTTTATGCTAACCAATAATCCACTTTAGCTATTGTTGCTGCTGCTAACTAATCAGTCATATGAATACCCTGTATAATTAGTCTGGTTTCAGGTTCACCTCACCTCAATCAGGAGCCTTAAGACTTAAGAAATGTACTCACATTTTAAAAACAGCAAGACAGGGTATCTTAAAAACACAATGCTCTGATAGGATAGAAAAACAGCATAGCTGAGATGTTTTAAAGGAAACATTGACAAAACAATAAAACTGCCGCCACATAGCCTACCTTCGTTGCCACTCCAAAAAGAGTGGGTCAGGCTCAGTTGTGCAGTGCCTAAACTCTCCAATTTGCCACGTCACAGGTGCAATTCCATCGTGTAAGAGGAAATCATGACGAAGTGGCTCACGGCGTGTGTAACGCTGATACGCAGTAATGAGGCGGCGTAAACGTGCTGTAAGAGCCGAGCCTGCCGGCCACTGTATCCGCCCCTGTTCCATCATCTCTGTAATTAGGTCTCCTGCGAGAGAATTTACGAAGCCCCCTTTAAAAGAATTGCTGCATTAGACTCAACCTGAAATAAGATCATCTTAAGGGGTGGTCACATTAGGTTTTGTGTTGGATTCATACATATACCAATGCGAGTGAGCAGTTCAATAATTTTTTATTTTTTTTTTTCGCTTTTTGTTGCATACTATAGGTTAGGAGAATTCGCCACTGATTTTTTTTTTTTTTTTTTAAGTAAATTGATAATATCTGATTAATAGAGGATTTAACCTGACCTCCAATCTGTAAATGGGAAAAAAATAATTCTTAGCAGGGTCCAAAAACGAACACACAAAAATGCTTTGGCAAGTAGTAAAACAGTTACAGTCTGCATGTGAAATGCAAATGGTATCAGGATCAGTAGCTTTTGTGTTTTACCAAAGTAAGTTAGGATGTCAAAATGTTTATAGTCTTAAAACTTCAGAACCAAAACTAAATGATCTTGCACAAAATGACAAGATAAAGCGGCATTTCTGCTGGTAACTAAATGTCTTCATATTTGACACAAATATACAAGAGAATGCAATATATATTTATAGTGTCAAAATATTTATGGCTGGTAAAGTTCTCAATTTATCCAGTATTGTAAGATGTTACAAAAGTAAATCATTTAGAATATATTTAAAAAAGAATTCCTGGAGTGTGACATCATATCCTGTTAAGGGTATATCCAGACGTAGGGTGCAAAATAACTGTGCATGCTGAAAAGCTAGTGTGACCACCCCTTAACAGTATTAACAAACAATTAAATGTTTAGTTACAATAGGTTACATTTCAAACCATACATGCATGATTAAATACATAAGGAGGGTTTTAATACCTGCCACTGTAGTGTCGTTTTTCCCCGTTTCCTCTGACATGGGCTCCTCCTTTGTAAAAGAAAACTTTTCTTAAAGTAACAGTCTGTGCATTTGGTTAAAACTCTACAGCATAATTAATCTGACCTCATATACTTTTGACTTCATATTATTACCTTGATCTCTACTTTCTCTTCTAATTCCTCAGACTTCATGTCATTTTCCTCTTTAATTTCATCACTTTTGCTGATACTGCACAAGAAAAAACGAGTCAAAAGATGCAATTGTAGTATTCCCACATACAGCTATATTATCTCAGCTGCTGATTTAAAGGATTTTACCCATCAGGTGCATCTGAAGCAGTTTCTGCTCCACTTTGTTCTACCGTCAGTGCAGTGACATCAGGCATACCCACCCGCTCCAGGAAGCACAGAGCAGGGTCTGCACGCATGGCGTTATACCGCTCATACCCTACATGGGACGCAACGACCAGTTAGTGCAGATGATGAAAGCAAGAGGAAGTCAATAGGAATCATTTGGACATTTAAAACATACTCTAAATGAATTGAAATGCATCACTGCTATTTTCAAAAATGACCTGTATGCATTTGTATTTCCATTGCTATATTGCACATGCATGAGAATTGCATCACAAAACTGGGTGTGATGGTTGCACAATTGTTCTATGATGATGTCTCACCATGTTTGTGAACTCCAATAAGCAGCGATTTATCCGCCTCAGAATCCCACCAAATAGTAGGGATCTCAATGTAGTCGATATCAGGCAGGGTTACCTCCAGTTTACTGCGTGAAACACACAGATCCTTACATATTAGGCTACTCAACAATGACAATGGCTTTGTACAGAATTCATGGAGTATTCATGAGGTTAAAATGGGCTGTGGGCCATGTAGTACCTGGCTGGGATCTCTTCAAGAGCCTGATTAGCAGCCTCCCCCAGCACTTCAACCTTCAGATAGTACAGCATCCGCACCCTCAGTAGCACCCTGTTCATGACAGGATACATGATGATCACACAATTAAAACTCGTTCATTATTATTACAGTACAATATTATGAGATCAGACTTATTGCAAATATATTTTTATTACTGGCAGGGTGTAGGAAATAGTTAATTATGCACCCAGATTATAGTACTGACTATTTATCTAGGTATAACCAGGGTGCAAAATGTACTTTTGCTACACTGACATTATATACATACATTGTTCATCTGCATGCATTACAACATGCAATTTTGAAGATGCTTGAAATCTTTATTAAGTCTTACTTGTTGCAATGTTGTTTGAGATGTTTCTTGTAGCTGTCGTCCTGAAGCACGACCTCTGGGTTACAGTGGACCAGCCAGTCAGCATTCTTCAGCTCAGGTGGACTCAACTGGTTCTTCAGTTTCTTTCCTTTCCGACCACGCGGGACAGGAGCAGACAGACCTGGACAGGCAAAAAGCAATTATAATAGTTTTTTAATGTCTTTATTTTGATCACTATGCAACAATTGTATGAAAAGCAGACAGTTCATTTAATTTGAATACTCAAATAATCAAGGATTAGGGATGCTTATGATTAATCGAACTTTCAGCTGTCAATTTTATTGATTAAACATACAGACTGTCGATCAATTTCAGCACAAAAGATCATTCAAGCAGTGAAAGCATTCATGATCTGACTTATTCAAAGTAAAAAAAAGAGTTGTAGATATATTTCCTATTATATATGCACATATAAAATAATATTATGCATTTTACTATTTTTTATTGTTATTGGTAGATTAAATAATATCTTGACATTAAAACAATGATAAATTGCAACTGATAATTTGTAGCAAATAAATTAAACTGAATTTTAAAATGTTTAAAAAACTCATAGAAATTTGGTGCAATTGTAACAATGTTAATTATTAATTGATAAATGTTTTCTTTTCTATTTAAATGTCAATTGATTATGTCTAATCTTGAATAAAGTCATCCCAAAAATAATTAATGAATGGATGCAAAAAATATCAGAGGGTGTGAACAAATCCATTAATTACCTGAGTGGTTTTGCAGTGTTTGATTATGCCCATCTTTAGTGGGTGTAATCAGATCCCAGATGAAGCTTTTAATTTTGTCGTCTCCTTTATAATGGCGAACACAGTAGACCAGAAGAGCCCTGCACAGCACCTCCATGTCTCGCTCCGACAGGTGCCATTTAAAACGCCCATGATTGAGAATATCCTTCCAGCGACCCCACCTGTACAATCAGCAAAGACATTTCATCAAAGTCTGAGATGTATAACTTCATATAACTTAATTTATGGCTACAAAATTTATTCCAATATATGGTCTTGCAAATGAAATAGCAGAAAACTTTTATGTTGAATTGCTTTAGTTGCTTGTAACAATACTTAATTTGATTAAAGCTCTGTTGTAGGACAACAGAAGGTGACCCAGAAGCAGTGAGTGGGCAGCCGAAAGCAAATGAATCACTGACCCAAAAATAAGAAGGTTTTTCTCCACTCTGAAGCACTCTGCTCGGAGGTAGCGTCTGTTGCGATCACTGAGACGTCTTGTGCGACAGGGTCGTTCCTCTGAGTCGCTGTCCAGTTCAGAGAACTCCATCAGTTCATCGTCCTCAAATGAGTTATAGTGGCGCGTCTGCTTCCTTACGCGAGGAGTGTCGATCACCAGACTCTCCTGGCAGACACACAGACATGAGTCAGAAAGTGTTGCAGTCTCAATATTTTTCTCCTTAAATGTCACCAACACGCAAACAGTGTAGAACAGCACATTCACAATCACACATGAATCCAAGCCATCTGTTTTGAATCGGCTGATATTCAAATGACCCCCCCATTCACTTTCTTTTTTTCTGGTGAAGTCTATGAGCTGATTCTCTGGTATTACACCACCCAAGTCACAGTGAGCTCATATGCAAAGCTTCAGTTTTTTAAACCATCATACTTTTTACCTTTTCTGCCTTGGAGTCAATTTCCAGTTCAGCAATTTTGGCCCACTTTTGCCAGAAGTTTGGATCATCCAGAGAGATGTCTGTACGGTTCCCTGAAGACACAAAGCTAGCCTGGAAATGGTAAATAATAAAGGATTAGAAGCACTTTATCAAGATAGAGATCAGATATGTAAAAGCCTTTGTTTTACTGATACATTCAATGCTTATTCATCTTTTACATTCGCATCTGCCTTTCGCATCGCAACTTTTCCAGCTCATCTGCCATATTTATGAACAAAATAATAGAGATACCAAGAAAAGACGCTAATAATTGGATTTGATCCATACCACGTCTCTAAACATTTCAATTTAGCACATAAAATACCAATATAACGTTCATTGACATTTATATAGAGAGATGGATTGTGACAGATATAGCTGATGGATATATCTACAGATCAAAAGTGTTTAAAGAAATTAATTTGAAAAAATAAAATTAATTAACAATTAATACAAAAATGCATTAAATTTATAAAACAAAACAAAAACAGTCAAATTAATTTATAATTAAATAGTTCTTAAAAAATATCTTGGTTTTCTAAAAAATATTAAGCAACCCAAATGTGTTCAACAATGATAATAGAAATGTTTTTTTTTTAGCAGAATATTAGCATATTAGCAAGGATTATGTGACATTAAAGCCTGGAGTAATGATGCTAAAAATTCAGCTTTGATCACAGGAATAAATTACATTTTATAATATATTAAAATAGAAAACATACATTTTAAATTGTATTGCTATTTTTACTGTAAAAAAATAAATAAATAAAAAAAGTCAGTCTTGGTGAGCATAAGAGACTTTCAACAACATTAAAAAAAATCTGACTGACTCCAAACTTTTAAACGTAGTGTATACCTTGGCAAAAGTTGATCCCTTCCCCTCAGTCTGGATTGTGATGGTCTGTGTGCGGCGCTGCAGGATCTGATCAATATCCTCCTCGCAAAATTTAGAGCCCTCATCTTCCTCGTCCATGAGCGCCCCGTACGCCCCCTTCCTGAGAAGATCTTCGACCTCCATCTTGGTCAGTTGTTGAACCTGAAAGAGGAAGGTACAGTAATTAAACAATACTGTCCTAGTCAGTGTAGCAAGTCATGGCATAAACTAATTATAACATTTCTGAAGAAGAAATAAGACTCTGCAATTGATGTCTACGTGCCAGTTGCGGCGGACTATTCAATCTCTGTCTTCCTAGGATTCAAAGTTTAAACTCATCGAACACAAGCAGCAAATTTATCAGCAATACGTTCTTAAAAATATTCTTACTGAAATTGTTCATATCAGAGGTAAAAAAGGAAGGAAGCAAAACATTTCCAAATAACAATGGGTCTTGGTGTTTTATTTACATGTGTTTCTTGAAGAGACCGTACAGCAGAGAGTCCAAACGTTTTGGCCTAAAATATTTACTTAAAGTTCCCTTGAGATTTTATCTTAATATTTCAATTAATTTAACAACATATTCACATCTTTATGGTTCTCTTGTGTTTCATTGGTCACATTACACACAGACAAAAAAAAAATAAATAAAAATAAAGTTAATATTTAAAAATATTTGTAATTTTTATGATTTAATTTATTATTAGATTTTCATCACTCCCAGGGGTTCGCAGTCCACAGTTTGGGAAATATATAATTGTCTTTCTTTTTTTTTTTTTGTTTAAAGGGATAATTCACTTTGAAATTAATTTTTGGTATGTTTTATCTTACCTCAAGGGCATCCTAGATGTATGTGTCTTTGTTTCCACAGTATTTTAAATTTTGATTTTTTTTAGGTCAAACCGTTCTTGTCTGTCAGTCATATAATGCAGGTCTATGGTCACCACTCGTAAATGTAAGTACACATTGATGGCCTAAGACACGAAACGAGCGGTTTGTGTGAGAAAACGAACAGGATTTATATAGTTTTTACCTCTTGTAACCACAGCCACGTCCAAGTGATCTGAGGGCACAGCGCTTCGGTCTGCGCAAGTGCCGGAAGTGATCTCTCGCGCGGTTGCGGAAATAAAATCAACGTTGTCTGTTGATATATCAAACTCATCTTCCATTGAAATTTCCTGTATATCTAAATATGCTTAGATCTTCACAGTGAAGGATAATACTTCTGAAATCTCTGTGTAAACAATGAGTGACGTACATGCGAGAGAGATCACTTCCTGAGCTTTCCGGCACTTGAGCAGACAGAGACGCCCACACCCTCAGATCACTTGAATGTGGCTGTGATTACAAGAGGTAAAAACGATATAAATACTGTTCGTTTTCTCACACAAACCGCTCGTTTCGTGTCTTAGGCCATCAATGCGTACTTACATTTACGAGTCATTAAATCATGTTTAATTTGGACTTCTCTGTGCATGCTCTTTGAGGTGGTGACCATAGACCTCCATTATATGACTGACAGACAAGAACGGTTTGACCTAAAAATATCAAAATTGAAAATACTGCGGAAATAGACACACCAACATCTTGGATGCCCTTGAGGTAAACTAAAACATCAAAAATTAATTTCAAAGTGAACTATCCCCCTTAAAGGCTGATACATTTGATAAATTCAACACTGGCAGATGTGGGGAAAAAAGTTTAATGTTGTGGATAACTCACCCCATTGAGGCTGCCCTTGCGGTTGATGTCCTGCAGAACAGCCTTGTCCAATCCCAGTTTCAGACTGGCCTTGTCAAACATCTCCCTCTCGTACGAGTTTCTCGTGATAAGTCGATACACTTTCACCGCTTTGCTTTGACCGATCCGATGGCAGCGAGCTTGAGCCTGTGGAATTCAAAGCATGTTTATAACAAATGTGATATTTGTGTTTTTTTTGGAAAGGTTTTTTTTTATAAATGAGATGAAAATCACTAAAGGAGAGAGTCAGTTACACAGTATATAAAAGATGCTCCGTTTTCACCTGCAAGTCGTTCTGCGGGTTCCAGTCTGAGTCGAATATGATGCAGGTGTCGGCGGCGGTGAGGTTGATGCCCAGACCTCCTGCTCGTGTACAGAGGAGGAACACGAAGCGGTCAGAGTCCACCTTGCTGAAGCGATCGATGGCAGCCTGCCTTAGATTCCCTCTAACTCTCCCATCAATCCGTTCGTATGTATATCTACACGCAAAATACAAATTTCAGATGATAAGAAATATAGTTATTGCATCTAATCCACATAAAACTTACTGACCCATATGTTTTGACCAATGAATTTCCCAATTTAAAAAATGAGCATGGTAAACTCCTCTTGGACACCTCAGTCTTACAGTCTTAACAGAGACGCAGCCGGGTCATGCACAAATGATCCGGAAGGTCCAGCCATTGTGCATTGGTGTTAAAAAGACATTTAGGAGAGTAAGGTGCAAGTGCAAACTCAAGCGAAATCAATATGCAATAGCCATTTTAACTCTTCATCCTCCCTATTTTTAATTTTTATTCTTTTTTTCTTCCCCTTTGTTTTTGTTGTTTTTATTTTGTTTTTATAATCTTTGTTCGAAGTTCCTTTTTTTTGACGTTTGAGGTTTTTTTTTTTTTTTTTAGTTTTTATTTATTTAAAATCACCCCCTTTTTATTTTATTTTATTTATTTTTTGTATGGATATATGGGTGTATGTGTGTGTATACATGCAGGTATGTTTGTATGAATATGTATGCACTTGTATGGGTCTATATGTGTAGGTAAGAGAGATATAGGTGCATCCGTATTGCCCTCTGTCGATTTCGTTTGTATATTTGTTTATGTTGGCTCACTTGTCTCCTCTTGTATTATTATCTTATGTTTGTTTGTTTGTTTTTTGCTTTTTTTCCCCCTCTTACTGTTATGTATGTTTTCTTGTACTCATTTGTAATTATATTGCTTCCTTAATAAAAAAATAAAAATTAAAAAAATGAGCATAGCTAGAATTTTTTTAAACAGGCAATACAGAAATTGCTATGACTTTAAAGATTTTCATACATTTCCACTACCTTTTTAGGCCTGGAAATATCAATTTTAAAATTCTGTTTTTCTTTGCTATCCTTGAAGAAAAACAACAAATGACGTAAACCGTGTTTTCATTTCATGTTGACATTCTATTTTCAGTCTATTTTCTCTCTCTCTCTTTTTTTTTATATAAAACTATGACTAATGTTACTGGATAATAACCAGCTGTCTCACCTCCTCTGAATGAGGTAGTCCTCCAGTATATCAAGGCATCGAACCATCTGGGAAAACACCAGCACTTTATGTCCTCCGGATAGCAGTTTGGGCAGTAACTTGTCGATAAGTACTAGTTTACCAGCGGCCTGAATCATTGCCTGCAGCTGAAAATCCAGAGCGTCAGAACTGTAGGTTTTCCTGAAGCTCTCAAGAATCTTTTCTTCAGCACCTGACAGAAAGGTAGATGGGAAATTAAGTCAGCACTACAAATTATAGGTGTGACTCCTGAAATGTAGAGAACTGCAACCAAGATATTTGAAGAATTGTCATTTTCACACGTCACCTGTAATGAGGTACGGGTGATTGCAGCACTTGCGAAGCTCCATCATTGTGTTGATGAGGTTGGGCATGTTGTGCTGGTTCGCTCCCTTGGCAAGGAAGGTAAAGTTTTTCTCCAGAATGGCACGGTAGTATTTCTTCTGAATGTTAGTTAGCTCCACCTCGATGATTGTCTCCTCTTTAGGGGCCAGATTCTTCTCCACATCATCCTTCAGTCTCCTCAACATCATGGGCTTCAGAATGGCTTGCAGTTTCTTTACCTGTGGGAATGTTAATGTTTCTCAGGCTAAAGCTGGGCATATTTATTTTCACCTAAATCAATAATCAGGCCATGTTGCCTGGAAATAATACTTCTGGTTCCATCGTCCCAAACAAGTCAATGGGTTTTTGGTTAAATCAAATGCCTAAAATAAAGTCTGTTGTTCATAAACAAGCTCAATATATTTTCATGTTTTATTCTATAACATTAAACCCATCAGTTATACCCTACTTGTGTTTTTTAAAACTTTTACTTAAAAAGATGGTTGCTAACAAGTAGCTAAATGAGTGGCTAAACATAATTGCGCCTAACAGGTAAAATCATATACTCACTAATTCACTTGTACAGACTTGTGTTTATACTCATGCTCTTGCAAAGTATTTTAACTATAACTTTCCAATTTATAGATTTTTTTTTTTTAAGAGCAGTCAGAAGCTTTAGCGGTGGTGACGTTCAAGTTCAAAGGTTTATTTGCCATTTGTATAGCACATAGAAAATTACACACATACATAGGAACTGTACTGCATCACACTTAGAGTAATATATATATCATATTTTAATGATTTCACCATTAGTCTCACTGCTGCTGGATAAAAGCTGTTGTAAAAGCATGTTTTGTGTGTGATAATACTGTAGGATTGGTATTTGGGCCTCAATAGTGAGTTAGCTGGATGATGAATGTCACGCTTTCTTCTTACAGCGCTCTGTGTACAGTGCTGTCATGTGACCATGGTGAGTTTGCTTATAACCTAATATTATAACTTGAATGTATTTAGGCTTCAGTTGTGTTGCAAATTGTAAATGTTTCATGGTCACAGCTTATTTTCTACACAAATCCAAAAGCTCCTATTGAAATCCTATTGGCATTTTGTTGAGGGAATCAGGATGAGGCTAACTTTCAGGTTGACCTACAAAAACATGTCATCCCTGCAGCACTTTATTTGGTTATTTTGAGTTTATCAGCATTGGCTACTTAGGATGTTAACAAGGATGTTTCCTACTCTCCTCTAGATGGCTTGGATAATTGGAAGTGAAGGAGTCCATACTATACAAATATATTAGGCAAGATCACAAACTTCCTATGAAGCATTTGAGGATTAGTTCTCACCTGCTCCTCTGTCTTTAGGTCTCCGAACTCCTCCAGGAACGTGGTCTCGGAAGGGAACTGTGAGGGTTCGAGAAAGTTAAGAAGACTGAAGAGTTCCTCAACGGAGTTCTGCAAAGGAGTTCCTGTGAGAAGAACTTTATGTTCCTTGAGGGAGAAAACAGATAGAAACTTTAAGTTCAGCCAACTGATTTGCTGAAAAGTGAATGTATGTGCATTTTTAAGATATCTATACTAACTCTCTCAACTGTCTATTTTTAGACTTTTTTAATACTTTTATCTATATATAGATGGTGAAAGACAGCATAGGAAATTATGGGGACAAGACTGGGAAATATTATGCTGGATTTTATCTAATCTCACCCATTTTAGCTCCAACCAGAGGGTCAAAAATGTATTTGGACATTGAAGTCTCACTTAAAAAAAAATTATCAAACCGGGTTGTATTTATTTACACATTTTAAATATAGCAAAAATACACAATTTAGACACTTTCTAGATGTCTTTCACTATTGCATCATGTGCCATGTGTGTCCAAATACTTTTTGGGGGTACTGTACATCAAAATGCATCTGTGAACACCTAATCAGCAGTGAGGGGAAAAACAGCACTGCATCAAATGTAGTTTGCACACACTGGCGATCGCTGCAGTGATATGTAAAGCGAGTGAGATGAGATTACTCATTCTGTGTCCAGAGAGGATGTGCGTATGTAAATGCGGTGAAGCAGAACTCGGCAGCTAAATGAGATGTGTGCGAGAGAGATGGCACAGTAGTTTAGATTGCAGATCACTTCCCCTTTTCTGCATTTAAACCTGAACCCTAGTATGACAAAAAATGTCCGCATCAGGTTCCTGGTCCGCAAATAAATAAAAACAAGCATATTAAACTGACCAGGTTCATGAGTTTGAGTCCCTCCAGCAGTTTACAGTTGCGGTTTTTTAGGCGATGGGCCTCGTCAATCACCACACAGCGCCAGTTTATCTTCTTCAGCTCCGGACAGTCAGCCATAATCATTTCAAATGTAGTGATCACGCCATGAAACTTAAACTGACCAGTCATGATGTTTCCCTGAAGGAGCAAGAGAAAGACTGATTGTATACACTGCACTAATATGTAAAAAAAATAAAAATACATTGAAAAAAAGACGTTAAAAATAAATCTTACTGATCTATGTCATGAACCCTAGTTAATGTTTGTGAAAGACCCTTATGCTCAGCAAGGCTGCATTTAACTGGAATAATTTTTCACAATATTACTGTTTTTTTGTTGTTGTTTTTACTGTATTTTTGATCAATTCAAAATAGCTGTTTAAAGGAACACTCCGACTTTTTGGGACTTTAGCCTATTCACCTTACCCCCCAGAGTTAGATAAGTCCATACATACCTTTTTCATCTCCGTGCGTGCTATAAGTCTGTTTGACGCACCCACCGCTAGCCTAGCTTAGCACAAAGACTGGATGTGAATGGTTGCAGCTTTCATACTAATCCAAATGATTGACAAAATAACGCAAACGTTTTCCTATTTACATGTTGTGGTTTGTATAGTCACAGAGTGTGCAAATATCAAGGCCATATGAGACACAGACATCTTTTAACCGTATAAATACTATATTTTCTGAAGGGGAAGCACTGCTACTTGGGCAGAGTGATAACAATCACCTGAGACGCACCGTGACGAGGAGCAGAGAGTTCGCTTCGCTCAGCGTTGGAATAAAGAGTCAGCAATTACTAACGTTAGATAGAAAAGCATAGTTTATCATGGGTGTTTGCTTTATTGTATGAGCTGTGACAATAAACAGGGGAGACCAGGTAATACAGTACCATGTTTCATTGATTTCCAACCAAAAACGCACCCAGATTTATAAATATCATGAATAAATAATTATTATTACAGGAATCAATATATTTTAAATGCAATTTATTAGCTGAACCAAATGTATTCAACAGTAGCCTATATAATATACAGTATTGCATTACTATAGGATAGAATAAGGGGAAAGTAATAGCACAAATTGTTTTTGCACAATGAACTCACAGCCTATCCTACCATTTTGCACGCTCAAGTTCGTTATTTCCATTATTTCAAATTTAGGCTACTAGGCGCGCCGCGCGCAGGGTGCAAGTTCAACGCGCTCGTTTTTTTCCCCAAGCGCGTCCGCACCGCATCAAGATAAAAACATATTCATACCCTAATCATATAATAGTGTCACTAACGTTACTTTAGATCTGGCTAAAGGCACTGTTACAGTAGGTCATCTAAAAACATAACGGAACACTTACCTCAGCCGCAGGTGATCCACTTGTCCTGTCTGTGCTATCGATGGGATGGCCGTATCCTTCAGCACATTATGGTCCGTGTGGCAAATTCCATTTTTTCAAAATAGTCGTCCTCATTGAAATGTACCGAGCAAACATAATGTCCCTTGATAATCTTAGGTGTGTTTGGATAAATATCCAGAGTAAGTTAGCCATTTCTTCATCCAGTCAGCGTTTTTAGTTGGAATTCTGTGAAACATGGTTACCTCCCCTGTTTACAGTCGCAGCTTTTTACAATAGAGCGAAAACCCATGACTCTAAACTACGCTTTTACTATTTATAAATTGCTGACTCTATTACCCAAACACCGAGCGAACTCTCCGCTCCTCACCACGGCGTGTCTCCGGTGATGCGGTTATTACGCCGTCAAAGTAGCAGTGCTTCGCCTTCAGAGAATAGTTCCCAGGTTTTATACGGTTAAAAGATGTCTGTGTCTCATTTGACTTTGTTATTTGTACATTATGTGACTATACAAATCACAACATGTAAATAGGAAAACGTTTGCGTTATTTTGCCACTCATTTGGATCAGTATGAAAGCTGCAACCAGTCACATCGAGTCTTTGTGCTAAGCTAGGCTAGCGGTGGGTGCGTCAAACAGACTTATAGCACGCACGGAGATGAAAAAGGTATGTATGGACTTATCTAACTCTGGGGGTTAAGGTGAATAGGCTAAAGTCCCAAAAAGTCGGAGTGTTCCTTTAACATTTTCAATCAATTTTAAAATGTAATTTATTCCTGTAATGCAAAGCTGAATTTTCAGCATCATTACTAAAGTCTTTAGTGTCACATGAACCTTCATTAATTTTTTTTATTTCTTTCCGGCTTCAATGGCTATGTTCATGGCAAGAGCCAGGTTTGGTTATTTATAAATAAAACTAAATAGGATGTTTAAGTTACATTTTTTCTAAAACCTTAAGATTCAATTTAATTTTACTGGGTTAAAATCTTTTTTTAAAGTCATTTTCATGATCCTACTGATTTCCTGCCTTAAGGCAAGGCAAGGCAAGTTTATTTATATAGCACATTTCATACACAATGGTAATTCAAAGAGCTTTACATAGATGAAATTAAAATAATCAAAAGAAATCAGAATAATTAAAACAGTTTAGAATAAAAAATAAATAAATGTTTTGAGTCTGGATTTGACTGTGACTACTGTAGGAGCACATCTGATCTCCTCTGGAAGCTGGTTTTAGCTGCGGCTGCGACTCCATGCTTTGAGTGAACCCTTGGTATTTCTAGCTGATGTGATCCGAATGATCTAAGTGATCTGTTAGGTTTATATTCAGTGAGCATATGTGCAATACATTGAGAAATATATACTTAAGAAACCATGATACATTTTTTCAGGATTTTGTGTCACTCTGTTGGACTCACCTGTTCATCTCTGTAGTACGTCTCATACTGCAGGATCATCTGCCGACTGATCTGGCTGCCGTGATAGACAATGACGTTCATTTCAGTCCATGTGCGGAATTCCCTCTCCCAGTTGGTGATGGTGGAGAGCGGGGCGATGATGAGGAAGGGTCCTCTCAGACCCATGAAGAAAATCTCAAAGAGGAACGTGATGGACTGGATGGTCTTCCCCAGCCCCATCTCATCAGCCAGAATACAGTTTTTCCTACATCAGGAGAAACATGATCAGGTGTTCATTAAATCACATTATGAGGAACAGGATTTGGAATCGGTTGCACGAGCATCTTTCTGCAGTCTGAAATGATTTTTATCATGCTTAGAGTTTTTATTAGGTAAGGGTTAATGTGCTTATTGGTGATATTTGTATTTGCTTACAACTAGGGTTGTTAATTAATTTAAAAAAGTATTACATTATATGCTGATAAATTAACCAAATTAATTACATTTGTCAATTATAATATAATAGTAATCATTAATAATATTAAATTATTAAATATTAATAATATTTGCTGAGAAAAGTCTTCAGATAAAAGATAAAGACATTGAATTGTATTAGAAAATATCATCATAAAATTGTATTTTGAAAACTATATATTGCTTGTTTTACATTTTTTTAGCATTTTTATAAAAATTATAAATTGACATTAAGTTGAAAGTACAGCAAATTTCAGCAAATTATTCCCAATAATTGATAAACAAATAGTTTAATTAGTATTGATTTGATTTATCCTAGTTTGTTTTTATTTAAAAAATCCATTTAAATTGAGACTTCATCATATGCAAACATCATATGCTTGGCCTTTGTTTAATTCTTAAATTTTGAAACCTATATATTGCTTGTTTTCATTTTTTTTCCCATTTTCTATAAAAAAATAATAATAAATTGACATGAAGTTAAAAGTCAGAATTTCAGCAAATTATACATAACATATGAGAAGAATTGATAAAAAACAAATAGTTTAATTAGCATTTGATTTATGCTAGTATTTTATCATTAAAAAAATCATTTAAGTTGAGACTTGAAACAAACATCACATGCTTGGGCTTAGTTTAATACTTAAATAGTTCTTTATACCTTAAACTAGGATCATAATGTTATGTAGACCCTAAAAGAGCTGATATTTAAAGTCTTTCACCTGTTGTACCAGTTGAAAAGAAGCCAGTTCATTCCCTCTAATTGGTATTCTCTGAGCTGGTTCCCATTCCTGTATTCTCTGGACTTCTCCAGTTTTTGCCACTGTTCTGGTAGAGGCCTTTCCTGTATTATTACAAAAGACAAAAGAAGTGCCACTTCCTTCAAAATACATAGTACATACCATAAAGAAGAATAAACATGTTTTGGATAATACAATCAAACATTGAGCTGAACCAATGTAAACATACACACTGGAAACATCCAATAAATCTTATCTCGTAAGGAAAAAACAATTAATTTGCAGTTGAGTGCTTACCACAAGTTTAATTTCTGGAATTTTCTTGAGGTCTTCAAACTCTCGGATTTTCACAGGGTCAACATCTTCCTGAAGCTCCCAAGTACTCTCCTCATATGACAGTGAGCACCATTTCACCAGGTAGTGGGTAACTTCCTGTTTTCATGCATGCAAACAAACCAAACCTCAAAAGACTGGCACTACAACCACAGTTTTGTTTTCAGGAGTTCATTTGAAGAGTGTCTCACCTCTCCTGTTTCTGTATCAGTGGTGATAGCGATCTCTAAAACCCGATCAACCTCAATATAATCTGGATTAAAAAGGTCTTCATCCGGCTGAGGAGAAACACAACATCACATCAAGCATATTTAAGCAAATAATACACATGTATACAGGACAGATTCAAAGGTGAAATACTTGCACAAAATTGTCCGCATGGATTTCAGCTTTTACATCATAATTATATTTGATGACTTTCCAGGTTTTAACTTTAAATGAGCAAACAGCAGCATGTTTTGGCAGACACACCTCTGTGAAAATGTGCTTCATTTGTGCCTGCTTGTTTCTGAAGCGCTTGATTTTTTGTTGAATGCGTGGGTCCTTTTCCAGTTCCTCCAAGGTCGCCCATTTACAGTGCAGATAGGAGCTGGCAATGAGAAAAAGCTTTCATTGCTGACAATGTGCTGTAAACAACACTGAATGCATTCATCATGCATGCATTTCATTTAAAATAGCATTGTATAGAGTTTCTCCATCCATATTTGTGTCATTGTGTGTATCACAAAAAACTGATCACGTTTAAACTCAAATTCAAAAGAAAGAAATAAGAAACGATATTGAAATGATTTTTCTGCACATTTCTGTACATTTCTCTCAAAACATTTCTGTATTGAGGTATTATTGACATGAAAATTAAGCACATCACCACTGTATTATATCAATACTGTAATGCAAAAATAAAAACGATATTAAATACATTTTTTTACAGTAAATTTAACAACAAAATTTAAAATGTAAATATCCACTCATTGCTATAAGATTTTGGGGGAAATGTGCTTATGAAAATCCTAATAGCCATCTTTCTCATAATGTCTTTAAGCAAAAAAAAAAAAAAAAAAAAATATATATATATATATATATATATATATAAAACCCATTTTTGATACAGCAAATAATTTCATGAGGTAGAGTGTATTACCTCTCTACCAGATGGATAATTTAATGCATAAATGATTTGAAGTAATGAATTACACAATATGAGTTATGCGTTTGCTCTGACAGTTCGAAAAGCTGAGTGTTCAAGAGTTTGAGAGCACAAAAAGGTAACAGCAGTTTGATCCGCATGAGTACACTTACAAATTTCTGTACTTGACGTAAAACTCCTCCAACTCTTCTGGTGCTTCATCAGGGGATGTCTAAACGAAAAACCATAGATCAAACACTGAGAACCTTCTTTTAGGCAGATGTTATTTGCACCCCAGTGTAATGAATAGTATATGCATTTAGATGAATTCAGTACTTTGTTCTTTTAGCACAGTGGTGTAAATAAAGGATCTAATCAAATGTTTAAGGTGGTGGTGGAAAAAATACAAAGGTTTGAGAATCACTCATTGAACAACATATTTAATACACACTTAAATGGCCAAATAAAAAATGTTTAATGTAACATGTAATATGATCACTTTACCTCTTTCTTGACCGTTCGCACAGCGAGTATTTTCTCAATAATATTAGCCTCATCTTCAGGGGGTTCCTGGAAAGAAAGAAGGTGGGAGTGATTATTTCAGTGTGTGTGTTTGCTCAGCTCCTCCAGAACTAGGGCAGGTGTGTGCTGTGGCATAATGGCAGATGTTGGCACAGTTACCTCAGCCTGCCAGGCGAGAGTAGAGGAAGACATGGCAGCAATTCGGCCCGCGCCCAACACGGCAATGGTCTCCCCGTCATCATCCACGACCTTGAAATCAAGATCTTCGTTGTACTTCCGCCGCTTCACTTGACGCCCTGATCGCCTTTTCTGCACAGAGAGTAAAAGAAAAAGAGGAAAGAATAATTTGATTGTTTAGTTTGTGTAAAAAAAAAAATCTTGTGCATATCCAAAGATTACTGGTACAACGTTACCTGATTGGGAAGTAATTACAAATTACACAAAATCACTCATAACACATTTTATTATGTTATTTAAATGGTTATAAATTTGCATTTAAATGGTTACTCTGACCACGTTTTCTTTCTTTCGTAGTTTGTATCTCTTTGAAAAATAATGGAATGATGAAATGTGAAACCCAAAGGCCTGATGAAGATCAGTTCAGGAAAACTCACAGTGTTATCCATAGGGTCGGTGCTTTCCTCACCGCCGGTGGCGAGCGTGCTGAGAGAGGCTGTGTCATCACTCTCCACCATCTCAAGTATAGCCTCACTTTTCCTCTTTCCCTTCTTCTTCTTCTCCGGAGGCATGGCACCCTGCTCTCTGCATAACAGCAACACATAGTATTAAAATCCATCATACTGGCACAGTTTTGCACAGGTTGACAAATCGTATAGCAAACCACCAGGGGCTTCTTTAACTGACAAATATCAAGCCATATTATGGTACAAAACACCAACATGTGCTGTGCAGACGCATCCTGGGTAATAACTTAGACAAGCAGCACTACAGTTTTGCTGGAGCACAGCACTAATAATCGCATCATGTCATTGCTTTACTGTTGGAGAGTGTTGAAAGGGAACCACAAAGTGGATAAGGAAGTTAAAAAAAGTGAATGTATCCCATAAAAGACAATTGGCATAAACTCACAAGTTCTTGAGTCTGGAGGGTCATTTTAAAGAGCCATAATTGTGATATTACATATTTGAATACCTTACAAATGCATGCCTATAACTGCACCTTTATTTCTCCAAACACACAATAAAATAACCAAAAGTTCAAAAAGCCTTCACGTGGTTGCAGCTTTCATATTTTGACCTTGGTTTCAAATTGGAAAAAAATAAGCACCCACATTCACCTTGTAACATCCACAATCCCTGTATCACATTTCACCTAATCAAGATATGAAAAGGTCTATGATTGAGCGTAGCAAGAACAGCGCTGAGACGGTACATGCAAAAAACTGTCTCACATATAAAAGATGCAATTTACAGAAATGTGACATTTGTTAATCAGCGACTAAAAATTATTTACAGACATAAAACTAGTTTGCTGCCTTCAATTAAGACGTTTCATAGTAAACTAGGCCCCAAGTGTGTTGAATATAATATACCTGCTATTATTATCTTGTTATTAAGCACATACTAACTTCAGTGTTAGACAAATAACACTGACTGAATATTAATGTTTGTAGCATTGAAAACACCTCCATTTCATGTCATGTACAAAACCGTTCACAAGTTTGGGGTCAGTAAGAATTTTTTTTATTATTAAGAAAGAAATTATTCAGTAAAGATAATTATATTAGAATGTTAAAAAAGCTTTCTAATAAATAAAATATATGCTGGGCCAATTTTAGACCAGTCTATAGTGTTAGGCAAGTCTAAAATTAGCTCATAGTCTAATGCAAGTTAGATTGTTTCAAAAAAATAAAGACCGACTTAATTTAGAAAAAAAAATAAAAATTAGATGCCTTTCCTAACTTGGGTCTAAGAATCTGTTACCTTGGCAACAAGCAGTAACAATCAGTTACGTTACCAACAGCCAAAAGAAAAGGGAAAATGTCTCAAAAGAGAAGTGTTTTAGGGGACCGCAGTAACCTACTGGAAATATATTTTTGTATCTTTTCTGTACATCTTTAACGTTCCGCACAATGGTCGGATTACTGCTGTTAACTGTCTATGGCGAGCAGGACGAGGTCGAGGGAGGTGAGAGCAGCGGTGGCGAAGCCGGTGGCGTGATTGATAATGAGCGACACCTGCGAGACGCACCGGTCTCGTATATCTCACGGATGAGCGGAAGCATAAAGGAGGAGCGACGACAGTGAAAATACGAGACCGGTGCGTCTCGTAGGTGTCGCTCATTATCAATCACGTCACCGGCCTCGACCTCATCCTGCTCGCCACACTGTCGTAGCAATCTTTTTCCAAATTAAACTTTTCTTCTTGTTACTACATTCTCCGCTAAATTAAAATGTCCTTGTAACTGTGATACTCCTCCAACAAACACACATTTTCCGCTGGGGTAAACTGCACTGAGCGGTTGAATGCTCTTACTCTATCCTTCATGTTTTTAGTTTTGAAAAGCGTCTTATTTTACCCAGAAAGCATTGCAGTGTGCGGTGAGTCTTAAGTGCTTTGTGCAATGGTCTGATTTAGATGTCTATCTAAAGTCTGACTATCTATCTATTATATCTAAGCCATAGTCAAAGTCTATCTTTGTTAAACCGGCCCACTACATTCAATAAAAAAATAATAATACTTCTGAATGAATACTTGTGTGAATGAATACTTGTGAATGAATACTTCTGAATGAATACTTGTGTGAATGAATACTTGTGTGAATGAATACTTCTGAATGAATACTTGTGTGAATGAATAGTTCCGAATGAATACTTCCGAATTAATACTTCTGAATGAAAACTTATGTATATCTGCCCAAAAATGACAAATCTTTTATCATTTAACCAACTCACTTTGGCTTCCTCCCTCTTTTGGAGGGCGGATGTGTTGCAGTGTTCTTGGGCTGTGGTTTCACTTTCACATCTTGACCTTTCTTGACCTTTTTGACCTCCTTTTGACCTTTCGCCTCCCTCTTATGATCCTTTTGTTCCTTCACCGTCTTTGACTTTCTCGGAAGCATCTCCTTCCCTTCTTTTTGCACCCTTCTCTTTGGTTTAGCGTTGCTCTCTCCATCTTTGTTCCACTCTGACTCGGTCTTGTCTTTTTTCCTTCGTTTCTTCTTCACCCTGGTCCCACCCCCTCCATCATCCTCCTCGCTGTTGATTGATGAAGGGCGGAGACTGTGACTGCTGGCCGCAGACCCAGCCTTTGTGTGAGTCATGCAATGATTGGGCGGCCCTCCAATAATCCGTAACTGTTCTTTGCCCAAGTGGCCGATGGGAAATGTAGTTTGTGCGTTTTGGTCAGAGGCATTCGAGGCAGCAGCGGATGGAGTGTGCTTTAGTACATGGGCGGCAGACATCTGGAAAAACAGAAAACAGATTAGAATTCGCTCCTCTAATTAAACACTATTTGTGTTGTTTGAAACAGACACATCAAAGACTGTCCTGTCCAGTCAAACCATCTGCTAGTTGTGAATAGAACACATGTTTTGGGCAATTTCATGCTGGTTTATTACACATTATATATACTGAAGTAAAACAAACTAAAAAAAAAAGTAATCAGGGTCCACGGACAGTGTGAATGCAAAATGAACTGGGGTTGCTTTCACTTTGTTCACGTTTTAATCTAGTCACCACTGTTTTAAAGCTACACTGTGTAACTCTTTTAGTTTATTCTTAACTAAAAAGACTTAGTTCTTTCAAAAATATATCTGGTCATTAATGGATATTTACTTCGTTCAAGTAATAAAGTATTCTCGTGAGTGTATAATATGCCATTGAAAATACATACGAGTAAGGGGTTCTAATGTCGGTCGCCACATCTTGAAAGTACATTAGCCAAAGAGGGACATACCCGTTAATTCAAGCTTCGCCTTTCAGGTTTACGTTTGAGTTAACACTCATGGACGAGGTTGAACTGGAAGCCATGTTAATCTTGGACGACATTGGCCACCGTAGGAGTTAAAACGAAATCGGAATTGAGAGGAACAGAACCTAATATTCACTAGATGGGAGTAAAAATCACACAGTGTAGCTTTAAAGTGCACTCAAGTTTTCAAACACTCTAAGCTGTTTTTATCAGCAGGGTAATCCATGTATCATAGGTTATTTTATGGGACAAAATGAATGAGCTTTATAATGTCTTTAATCCATATTCACTCCTATTTACATATGTGCTCTATCGTAAAAGAAAATCACAGTGCAGTGTCATGAGATGCCCAATTACACATTACAGGGCAGATTAAATTAAAACTGTTCTTCTACTTCTACAGGAAAAAAAACATTTATGAATTAAACAGAATTCACTGCCGTCTGTGAGATTTGTGTTTCTGGTACACATTTCGCCCTGTATCTATTATTCCGAGAAGCGCGTTTATTTTTAACTATGCCTTAGTGTTGCGGTGCACACGTGGAACAGCGCGCATGTGCAGGCAGGCACACACACACACACACACTCCCCGACAGGGCATGCGACTGCAGGCAGGTATGGGGATAATGTCAATGAATCACATGCTTTCCAAAGCAAGCGGGCTGGAATCAGGGCCGTCGTCATGACAACAGGCTCGGGACCAAGCTGTGGGAAGCGGGAACGTAAACACGCAGTCTCCGTGGTAACCCTTTCCTTTCTGGGGTCTAAAAAGCATCAACCTCATTGTTCCTGAAGGTAATATTGCCAATATCTACATGGGTGGGAAAAAAAATACTTTTTGTACTTAACTGCACTGTAAAACGACAACTCGCAACTGGACTGCCCTTTTCACTTTTTTTTAATTCTCTCTCTATGCATCACACACATATGCACGCAAAGCTAATGCACGGAAGCAAACACTGCAGACTATTCCCGTGACGTGCTGCAGTATGCATGCTTGCCAGGCAAATCTGCCAACCGCAAGCGCACACACATACACACGTTGCAATCAAATTCCCTATGAATCAATACCAACTCCCAACTCCCAAACGCGACAGCTGCAGTTCAGTCAATGCCAGATCCAAACCTGAACACACCTTGCTCAAATGTGCTTTATGAAACATACACACACATCGCTCCTACTAACATGCTTTCACCTCTCCTCTCCACCAAATGCACGATAGCAGTCAAGCTAACTGCAATAACAAAATGCAAAATTTTGAAAGATTTCATTGTTTTTGTCCTTTAACCTCCCTAAATAAAGTCCATCTTGTTTTGCTTATGGATTCAGACAAAAGCTGAATAAAAATCGCACACTTGGAATGAATGGAAAGATTATATGTTCTTGTGTTAAAAACAGACAGAGAAAAAGAGAAGGCATAGGTCTCAAGGAAGCATTCGATCAATTTATTGGACCTTTGCTGAAAAAAAATAATTTAAAAAAAATTCCTTAAAAAAAATCTTACCGACCACTAACCTTAATTGGTAATGTATATGTATAAAATAGCTTCTTACTTTTGTAAAAAAAAAAAAAAAAAAAAATCATATACAGGCAAAATTTTTATTTGTAGTTTTTATAAACCTGGAGTGATGTAAAATTGGTCAAAATCAAATAACCAAATCACTGGGAATCCCTGCCGGTTCTTCAGGAAGGCCTGATAATGAAGCTCTCAGGGTCGGAAGTGCCTTTTTGAATCACTCATCTCGCAGTGAGGAAATATTACAACTAAATTGAACTACTTTGATTTGACACCACCAAAATTCAAATCAAAATGTAGATCAGATCATTTGTATGACAGTGAGCATGTCTACATGCACACCAGTAGATTGATAACTCACAAAAATCAGCTTATTGAAATAACCTGTTGTGTGGTTTACATGCAAATCAATAACCCGACAACGAAAGTAAAACCACTTTTACAAGACTTAGGTTAAATCAGGTTAACTTATTTCCCGGTAGTAATGTCAAAACGCAATATTTTTGCAGATATATCTGACTCAAGAGTATTTCATTTCTTCTGGGAGTTGTGATGTTAAATAAAGCATTATAAACCGAAGAAGAGGATTTTGATTATACCACTTCTGCTATATTTCAAGAAAAGGGTGTGATCAAGAGGAAGAAGAGTTTGCGATACATTTCTTCTTCTTACTGCAAAATGCTCGCTCTGTCTGGGTGTGCTTAAAGGTCCCGTTCTTCGTGATCCCATGTTTCAAACTTTAGTTAGTGTGTAATGTTGTTGTTAGGGTGTAAATAATATCTGTAAAATGATAAAGCTCAAAGTTCAATGCCAAGCAAGATATTTTATTTAACAGAAGTAGCCTACATCGAACGGCCCGTTTGGACTACATCCCTCTTCATGTTCATGTCACATATGAGCACTTCAATAAGCCAACAGGAAGCAGGTTTAAAGCGTTTACATGCTGGGGGCAAGCAGTGGCGTAAGGGACAAAAATCTAGATGTGACTGATCAGTTTATGGCCTTAAATAATATCCGATAAAGGAAAACGGGTTAACGCTAGGGGTGTAACAATATATCGTGCCACAATATATCGCAAAACAAAAATGCAACAATATGTATCATGGATATACATTTTTACAAAACAAAAATTACTCTGTGAGAAAAAAATTCAAGTTTTCAGAGTTTTAGTGTAAATTTAACTACAATATATAATGTTGCTTATAATGTATAATAATGCAATGGGGGAATATTTGTGGGTCCTGCCTGATAATGCCAAATGTCTGATGTTACCACTAAAAAGTGGTCAAGATTATTATATTTTAAATATATCTAGTCATTGAAAGCATGCAAGCATTTTCATCTACAATAACTTCAGAATCATGAATATTGTTATTCTGGTGTCACCATTGTCCTTGGGTTACAAGCACCAAGTCCAAGCCTATTAATTTAAACCCTCAAATTTAGCATTTTAATCAACAGTTCATTTTTTGTTAACCTTTTACCATATGTCTTGGAGTATCACAATAATATCGTATCGATAATTCAGTATCGCGATATGTATCAAATCATGACATAAGAGTATCGTTACACTCCTAGCTAATGCCTGGTTAAGATTACACTTTTTTTTTTTTGTCTGTTACGATAGTCACTGTGTCAGATTACGCGATTTTGACTTCTAAAATCTTGTGTCGTGGACAAGACACATGTCAGACTACACGTTGCTTCCTGACCAGTCATCGCATACCGTCTTTAACGGCGCGTGTGAAGTCATCAAGAAGGCGAAAGTAGTAGCGAGTGACTTCCGGAAACAAACGTAAACAAACAATGGATGAAGTGTTGAGTGTTGTATTCGCTGTCCTGTGTTCAGAAAAAAGTAAAAAAATAAAGAAAACCTGAGAATGGACACGTTCCTGGATTGCTCGAAGAGGACAGTATGGGCTGTCAATCCTCCAAAGAGAACTTGAGGTAAAATATTGTTTTCTTATATATTTTTACTTTTAGTTTTAACGTTAGCACCATCGTCTCTCTTTCGTTTCGCCATTTTTGAAAGTTCTGTACGGAAAGGCTTCTCTGCTCCTATTGGCCAACCTTTTACACATGTAACGGAAACATCGTAGACAACCGTTAAAAAAATTAAACATGCTAGTCTTTTTGTCATGAAGCATTTTTGCTGACACACTATACGAGATGATACGATCAAATCTTGCATCAGACGCCCGTTGTCGTTTACGAATCCCCACGACACCCTACGTCAAACGGATCGTGCCAAAATCAGGCTAAAATTGTGTAATCTGAACCAGGCATAACACATTTACATGATCAAGTTCACTGTCGGCTAATTAAGCATAATCAGGTTAAGACTGAACGAATCACGAAGTCTCTCAGTTTGAAAATACCTTTTAATCTCTTGGTGACCCCGACGTGCTTCTATTGTAAATGCAGTGAAATTCAGGTGGTCACAGTTTCAAAGCAAAGAACACATGAAACCCGTTGAACACTACATACAACTGACAAAGCGTCAGAGGTTGCTATACTGACTACACACAACCATTCTTCACTTCAAGAGATCCCAGCACTGAGACTAGATCCTCTGCGTCTGACAGTAGACCAAAAGCCTCCCAGATCCGGCTGACAATCCGACTGTTCCACAAATGTGTCCTCAGTGGTTTTCCACATAAAAGTGGTTTTCCACATGTACATTTCAGACATACTACAAAGTATAACAATGAAATGTATTTACTGACGCAGAAATAGTTATCAAGGGGGAGCACGAGAAACTGTTGAATGATGCTGACATCGATTTATGTTCTGCCTAACTGATACATGATCACAACACTGGCTAGGATACATACACAACTCATAAATGTCACAACTGATTCTTTGAACTAATTACTACGGTCTATGGAAACAGACAGGCACACTGGAATACACACACATGCCTGATCCATGCATGGTTCAGGTACTGTATTGTGGATAATTTTATTAGTGCATAAGTAAACTTTCATCAAGCAAACTATTTTCTACCCCCTTAAATCTTGACTAAACAAAATTTACCACAGAGATAAATACATATTAAGACATATTTAAATACTGATTCCACGCTCCAATGCATTAAACACCAAGCATATTACATTCAACTTTGACCTCGGTTTCCAATGAGCTTTCAAAGCTTGGCCAATGATTGCTTAACAATTAGCATGATTAGCTGGGTGTTGCTAGCCTGAAAGTCAAAACAAGCTGGAAGACAGATTGGATCGAGAAGTACAACACAACTTGAAAGGCAAATCATGAAAACGGCAAAGTGAATCTTTCAACACCTAACACCATCTTTATAAGTACTTTAGTTGGATTTCATTGGTAATTGCTAGAGAATATCATTGATTCCTAATCAAACATTAAAAAAGCAAAACTTTACACAAAATTAAGCATTATCATCATCTCAACATCCTCATCTGAAAGTATCAGCTAAATGGAGGTCAACTAACTGAAGTACTTATCAGACATAGGGGATTTCCATAGACTTCAGACTCACATCACACACATACTCCTTGCACTTTCTAAGACCGTAATCGTTCTTAGCTCTGTTTATCACTTTACTGTATAAATCAATTTCATTGCATACAAGAAAGCTACAAAAAAAATTTATTAATGTTTTTATTCAATTTAAAAAATTGTGCAAAAGCTTGTGTAAATAAATTCTCTGTATGCTTGATATTATTAGTATGCAGTACAACACTGAAGTAGTAAGTGCAGTAGACATAAGAGATGTACACACCTAATACCAGGTCTTCACTGACCACTTGCGATTGGATCACCAAAAACGAGTGTCAAGTCAAGTCAAGTGTATACAGAGCCAATACTTAATAGGAGAGTTATTTGCTAATGCTAACGCTGTAATATATAACAGTGCACAGATGGAGCACATTAATTAGACAAGTATGTAATGTCAACTAAATGCAATTTCAAATAATTTATATTTCAAGTCAACTTGCAACTTTGTACACAACATTTACATTGGGTTTAAGTCATACCATGTAGGTTCAGCATATGCCAACAGATATAAAATTCAAAATCTTACACATACAGAACCTGCTCTTCTAGAAAGCATTTGACTCCAGCATCACTGAGAGCAGAAGTAAGAGCAGTGCTGTGGTCAGTTATGTCAAACAGACATTCTCATGCCTGGTAACTGGTTAACTGTCATTATAAAAACTCTTTGATTCTTCTTGAGGAAAATCTACCACCAATGTTTTCAATAAAATTTTCCAAACATTTGATGAGCCACAGGTTTGTATAAGCTTACGCTATGAAGAAATGATCTGTCACCAGTAATTGTGACCATGTATCTGAGATTATAACATGTATAATTATGACAAAATCTAATACGAATGAGCCACATCCAAAGCCATATAAAATGCAAATATGAACACATCTGCACTTTCTATATACCATGGGGCAAGCTGCTTTAATGCCTAAACAGCCGACAGAATTGTTAATTTAAGAACACACCTTCATCACCTCAATCATTGCAATGCAAGGCATTTTGTTTGAATTTATCAGACAAAAGTAATCGAAATTATTATTTACATTTTACACATCTCCAATTGTAATTCTGGAAAAGAACTACATTGAATTAAAGAGTAAAAATTCAATCAAAAGGATGCAGTCCAGGACATTGTCTTAAAATGTAGTCTTTTTTTTTCTTCTTCAAGACAAGTCCTACATTTTTTAAGTTAGTCACATAAAAAGGTAGATTGGTCTAATTTGAATAAGAACTAAGGCCTTGTCCACATGGACACCGGTATTTTTATAACCAGAGTTTTTCCTACTGCGTTTTAAAAAAAAAAATCCGTCCACAAGAAAAAACGCAAAAACATGCTAGCAAGCGCTGTCAAGAGCATGCCACACTAGCAGGCGCCGATATAACCCCAACCATAAAGCCACGTTGGCCAATCAGAAGCCTAACAAAAAGTTATTACAGGTTTCCGGTAGGCGGATAACGGCGCATACTCTGACGTCGCAAGGCAAAAACCCCGACACGACAACACTGTAACCAGCGTTTCTGAAAATCCTCACCCTGGCAGGGGTTTTCAAAAATGTTTGGTTTCAGTGTCCCGATACTGCGTTTCCGTGTGGACGAACGGCCGAAACGCGTAAAAAAAGTCACGGTTATAAAAATATCCGGGTCCGTGTGGACAAGGCCTAAGACTGATTGCCTATTAGCAAAATAAATGCGTAAGACAACGTCTTAACATAGTGGCTATGCAACTGGCCATTAGTCTAATTGTGAAAAAGGATTAAAAGTGTCCACAAGAAAGAAAAAAAAAAACACAAGAGAACTTACGAATATCTTGTTTCTCATAGGTAGTAACAGCTATGTTTCCATCCAAAGTTCAGAATTGAACATAAAAAAAATTGTAAATAAAGCAGCATTTCCATCCCATGTGTTCAAGAGAATCATGGGAAATTGGATGTCTGCAATGAAATTGGAAGATGCTCCAATCAATCGGTGAAGCCAATGGCTCTTTTTCCTCCATCCTAAATGACTTGCGTCTCAGAGCTCACAGATGAAACGCAATAAACGCTGTCATGTTATCTTGCATTTGGATGCCTGATGTTTGTGTATGCAATTGTGCGAGACAGTTCTGGGAGGTCATTACACCAAACATTTTGATGACAGACTTCGGGTCAGGCATTTCAGAATGATCAAACCAAATATTTAAAATGCTGTGCGATGAGGTTAGTCCAGTTATCCAATCACATTCACTGTTGAGGCAAAGTCACATGAGCTTTTTGTAGCGCATCGAGGGATTTATTCGGTAAATGTGTATGCATCAGTTTATGCACATGTCTTCTTATCAGATAAAAATGTATACACCTCAATTGAGCCGGAGCGCATCTTGGTGTTTCTATCAAGCGTTTCTTATGCAATATCCCAGAATGAGCATTAAATCTGGAAGGAAACATAGCTGTTGAAATAGCAAATTAATGATTCAGAAGAAAACTCGACATAAACTCTGCTCAGATTTGCCTGCAATCTAAATCCAGAGACGTCATTACGAATACAACAATATCTCATCAAATTATTCCATGAGTAGATAACCGGAGCTATGCTCTCAACACATACTGTGTCTCAACATTTTTCTCCTTTGATTATTTTTACTTATCCCAAGGGATTGTGGGACACACACACACCACAAAGTTGCTACTGCTATGCAACATAACTGAGAACTCCAAAATCTCCTTGACTGTGAAAAAACAACCTTAATTATCTTCAGGGAGGAAACAATGTTATCAAAAAAATTCATAATTTACGTTCGTATGCAACGTAAATCCTAATCGTAAACTTACAGCCTCAAGAAAGTTATCATTAGGGTAAGTTTACCCTCCTAAGAAGCTAAGTAAGGGAAAAAACTCAAGCAACAGACTTTGGGTCAGGCATATCAGAATGATCAAACCAACATTTGAGATGCTGTGCGATGAGGTCAAATATTAAAGTCAAAAAGTAGGCTAAACAAAACTGAGGATCTTTCTGAAGTATAGCTATAGTGCAAGGACTAAAAATGATGCTAATGATGATGAAAGTGTGAGAGATGGTGTGAGAGACGGATTAAGGGAACTCTCACAGAGTGTCTGTCAGGAACACATGTGATACACTGACCTGCTTGTCCTTCTTTTGTATTTTCATTTTTTCTTGATCTTGGTGTCTGCGTCTGGAATACAGAGATATAAGGATTCATGAATATAGAAATTAAAACAAAGCATAAAAAACAACTGCTCAAGTAATTTTTATAAAGCATAGAATGTGTTTCAAATTCAGAAAGTTATCTTAGTAATTGAATTCTTGTAATTGTAACACATGAATAAATTGGGAAAAGTGCCTATTATGATGAAGACAACTGCAGTAGACATTAATAATGTTGAATAACTAATGTCTATAATATAAATAAATGTATTCTTATTCAACACTAACTATTGTTCAAGGTTTATATATTGCATTGCGGTATGACTATAAGTAGTGAGTCAACTTTAATCTATCACTATCACCACCTGTGACCATGGCATCACTTTATAAACACAAAAGTGTTTGTTCAAATGAATGACGTGCATTAATAGCAGGTTATAACAAAAAACGTCTTTCCACTTATTAATTAAATTAAATCTCTTAATGGGTTTGATTAAAATACTTTGAAAAAGTTCCAAACATTCACTAATAGGCCCTGCGCTGTCATTGAATAAACAAATAAAAACGGTATGTATTTACAGTAATCACAAGCAACATTACTAGCGACATAAATCCATTTTAATCACAGAATTACATCATAAACCAGGCGGGAACCCTGATACTAACTAACCCATTGCTTGAGGTAAGACAGTTGTCAGTCTACTTGTGATGCACTGTATCAGTGGCATAAATCCATATTATCACAAAATATTCACCACGAGCCAGGTCGGGCCCTTGACAATAATTAACTTATTGCTTGTGATAAGACAGGTGTCAGTCTACCTGTCATGCATTTTAATTGCATACGGGAGAAAAGCGTAAAGTTTTGACACTAATGTAACATCATTAGTGATAAATCCATATGAACACATTCATTTCAAAAGGGTTCATATAAACCATGTGGGCCTCTTGATACTAACTAACCTATTTCTTGAGTAAAGATGGGTGTCAATCTACATGTACTGCATCTGCATTGCCATTGAATTAAAAATAAATACATGTTGTCACTGTAATGCAACATTATTAATGCCTTAATTCCATAATAATCATATTATTACATCATAAACCAGGTGAGACCCCTGAAACTAACTAACCCATTGTTTGAGTTAAGATAGCTGTCAATCTACCTGTGATGCACTGTATGTATATTAAAAAGAAAAAGTGTTTTACTAAAGCAACATTATATCAGTGACAAATCCATATGAATAGCTCCTACATTTCTGATACACCATAAAACCAGCTGGGCCTTAGTGATACTAAACAACCCATTCCCTCAGTTAAGACAAACCAATCTACCTGTGGTGCATTGACATTGAATTAGTGATGATAAATATATAAAGACGTTATAGTGCTGCAACATTATTAGTAAGATACATTTATAATAATCACATAATTACCCCAAACACAAACTAAGATACAGATTGAGGTATGATGATAGGTGTCAATCTACCTGTCATGAATAATAATTAATAATTTTATAAAAAGAAAAGAATAACTGTTGACACTAACGCAACATCAATGGTGATATAAATATATATATATAAAACCAATTAATTTCAAAAGTGTTACATTATAAGCCCGGTGGGGCCTTTGATACTAACTAACCCATTCCTGGAGTTAAGACAGGTGTCAATGAAGGCATTTTCAATGTATAAAAAAAGGAAAAGCATAAAGTTGTTAAAGTAATACAACATTATTAGTGACAAAAATAATCAATAAATAATACGTTAATTTCAATGGGGATGCAGCAAAAACCAGGGCTTGAAGTAAACCACATGAGTGCTAGAAGTTACATTGTTCCTAGTACTTGATAACAGTCATGGGATGCTTTGTGCCTCAACAGATGCCAAACTTGCCTCATAAAACACTCTTATAAAAACACTAACATCGTGTCCCATATACATTAGCCCCAGTAGGGCGCTAGCCAGCTTGCTAACTGTAATGTCACGGCAACGGTGCTCTATATTTCAGGCGTTACACGCGTGAAGAGCCACTCAAACTCCGCGGAGGGACCGTCAAACGCGACCTCACCTACCTGGACACGCCGGCTCCGGACATCAGCTAGCGCAAAAACCTACGCGTTCCTCTCTCCGCATTTATTTCCAAGGACACTAAACGCCATGACAGTTTAGAAAAATGCATAAAAAATTAGAGGGGGTGGGAGTCGGGGATGGGAAAAAAACTCAGAGCAATTTCTTTAATCCTAACGCACAAGAGCAGTTCATTCATGAGGGGATGCGAGAGTTTGACGCGTCCGCGCTCCACCTACCCCGTGCAGTTTTGCGCGCGACGCGTTAAAATAAAAAAAGTTAAAAATGTGCTTACCTAAAATGGCTACTGCGGCAGCCAAAATACAAACAGCTATTATTTGGTGAAGTTTAGCGCTGGCCGCCTGCTACGACAGCCTAACCTGCGTTTAGGCCCGTATTCTGCCGTTCGCCATTGGTCGGTTCTAAGCGCAGCTGGGCCGCTGGATGTTCCCATTGGCCAGCGAGCTGTCACTCAAGCGACGCAGCGCTAAGCTTGTCTGAGAGACACGCATCGCCAGCGACCATTGTGTACTTTTAGCTCCTTGTGTGGATGTGGATGTTTTTTCTGTGATTCAAGAGGTTTTTCTGTTTCAATTCTTCACCTGTGATCGAAAGCACGCGCTGGATTCATTCGCGTTTGTCGCGTCGCGTCCGGAGTGCAACAGCAACGTTCTGGGTTTTATTTTTCTTCTCGCCTGCATCCACCAATCATGCTGCTTTTTACTCCATCATTACGGCGCATGAGAAAGAGAGAGAGAGAGGGGAAAAAAAATGTAACATTCCACGTCTTTGCTCATGTTTCATATCCCGGATGTGAGAATAGCAGGGGTTATAATGAAACGTGTGGGTGAAGCTGGATTTGTCCTAGTGATGTGTTCGGTTTCCTGAAGCTCTTTTGAGTATCCCGAAGTTGTGTTTGACATTGACAGAAATTCACGTTGTGCATCAAACAGTCTGCATGTCATTGCTGTAATTCGGGCGTGCTTGTCTTGCACTAACCAAAAAGTACCATGGTAATATCATGGTACCATTGTTTGGGTGCTGCCATGGTCTTCTGGACATCTACTACTGCGTTTTCATTGAGTAGCATGCATACAGTAAATTGCATGGTAAGACTATGTTATCAGATGGTAATACTATGGTACTTTTGAAATATACCATGCATGTCATGTCTAAAAACCCTGGCACTTCTTGACATTAGTGCTGGTACCACCACAGTGCTTTTTTTGTAGCTAAGGAATAACAAAAATGTCAACATATACAACTGTTCAAAAGTTTGGGGTCAGTAATACTTTTATCCAGCAAGGATGCACAAAAAATTGATGAAAATTGCAGTAATGTTACAAAATATATATTTTAAATAACTGCTGTTCTTTTGAACTTTTCATTCTTTAAATCTTCTTCAAATGATTGAATCATTCTTCAAATCTTCAGATTATTTCATTCTTCAAATCATTTCTGAAGTATCATGACACGGAAGACTGGAGTAATGATGCTGAAAAGTCAGCTTTGTCATCACAGGAATAAATTACATGGAAAGCAAAATATTCAAGTGGAACAGTTCATTTTAAATCGTTATATTTCACAATATTACTGTTTAATGTATTTTTGATCAAATAAATGCAGCCCTGGTGAGCATTGGAGACTTCTTTCAAAAACATACAAAAAATCTTTCTGGATAGTTGTTTGCACTTTTTGCTTGCAATAAAAAATTAATTTTATCAGTCTCACATCCTTTCCTGCTAATTAGTGTTTGTCCAGACATTAAACCTGCACAAACGGAGTGCTGTCACATTATAACGTTATTCCTGATAAAACTATTTCCTTATGTATCTGCATGCATGTAGCCTATATGTTACTTGTTGTAACCTTGCAAAACTTCCCAGGAAATGACAGAACAGCTGAATTTGGCATCTTCTGCTAAAGGTTTCTGCAGTAGTTCTGGCTTACAATCGTGTTCTTGCGGGGCAGTTACATGTGCACCCATGACCTATATATATATATATATATATATATATATATATATATATATATATATTTTACATGCAATTTACATTTTTATGCTTGGAAGATGCTTTGAATGTCTAAACATATCTTGCACCACTATACTAATATTGTAATAACTATTACAAAGCAAGTATAGGATGCAAGTTATTTTTGTCAACATATATTGAAGTGCACTGAATGAGTAATTGTATTGAAAAGTGCAGAATGCAACAGAGCACACTGTGGAATGCTGTTATCCCACAATCATGACCGTTCAGTTTTTTTCTTGACTCATCATATTATAGACTGCAAAATTTGAATTTTTTTTTTTTACACAAAATATATCACAAAAAGCATAACCAAGATGATAATGGTACCCCACTCATCGGTAAAAGCAATGCCGTATGGTTTGAAATATTTTAGAAGTGGTCAGAAGTTGTTTTAGAAGTTGTACAGTATATAATGCATAGTTCACAGCATACATTATAGTCAAGGGCAAATCTGCTCAAGGCCACAGAAGTGATGGGCCCTGTGTTTAATATGGCATCACACCTCCTAATGGAACCACTCGCTTTCATTGACACAAATGCCAATTTTGCACATAAGCATAATATTAAGGGGGAAAAAAATTTATATACCTCTGTTGAGTCTCTTTTTAAGGTGTAGTTCATGCAGTGCTGCAGTGAAGGGATGTTCCCCTCGTGTGTGTGTGTGTGTGTGTGTGTGTGTTCACCTGCACATGTCTCACTTTCACACTGATTGAGGTTCCTCACAGCAGCTGATTTCCAAACCATCTGTTCCTTCGCTGCACATATGGGAAACTGACTGGAAGAGATGGAAGCAAAGAAAGAACGATAGAACTATTAGGAAGTCAACTTCCCATCTGTATGTCCTCTGAGCATGTCTGACCATGACCATTTAAAATCTTGAAGTCTATAGCAAAGTGTTTACTGTACATTTTAATCATTAAAACGCACGTTATTATTATTAATATTATAATTGATCAATAATAATATCATTATTAAATGAAATGATTCCTTGTTAGTCATTTACCTTGTTTTTCTTTTGCATTATGACTAAAATATCAGTATTATTGTAGTCTTTAATTCATATTTTGAATATATCTTTCATTTTAATTCCAGTTAAAGTTAATTATTGTGTCTTTTTGTCAGCTGTTTTACTGCGTATTTATAGTTATTAAATATTAATATTACATATTTCTTAATTTTTATTTCAGTTTTAGTACATCAAGTTAAACTAAATTAAAATAAGTAATGTTGGCAACTAGCTGAAATAAAATATTTATTAAATGTTTATTATATATATATATATATATATATATATATGAAGAGTTCAGATGCAAAAGCCTCTAAACGCCATTTGAAATTTTCTTCTAAAATGAACATTTTTATCAAGCTTGTATAGTTCAGTAATTTCACTTAAATGGCAATGAAGATTACCTTGTCATTTAAGTGAAATTACTGAACTTAAATATACAAGCTTGATAAAAATGGTCATTTTAGAAGAAAATTTCAAATGGCATTTAGAGGCTTTTGCATTTGAACTCTTCATATATATATATATATATATATATATATATATATATATATATATATATATATATATATATTCATACATCTAATGACAGCAAAAAATGATGAAGAAAAATGAATGAAGAGGAAAGTCCTGCAGCATTTGGGCACAAAAGGAACTAGATTTCAAGCATTGAAATTCAAGTGTCCAAATACTTTCGGGGCGAGATGTTTGCGAGTTTGTATCATGTGTATATGCATATAGTGTTACAGTGGTGAGGAGGATGAGAATGTGCAGGTAAGATGGCATCCATGAAGGAAACGATAAGGGCATCTGTTTAGGAGCACGTAACAAATCCCTCAAGCTCCATGCCTCTTCTCATTGGCTCTGAGCCCAGAGTGCCTCTGGCAGGAGTTGAAGATGTGCATTGCTTCTGTTCAAGCCATAACCACTCCAGCAGTTCATTTTGCGTTACTACAAACCTTAATTTTTTATATTTCTTGCTTTGTGTTCTCAAGCCTAAACCTCAAATCCAACATCTTTAAAACAGCTGGAACCGGACACAAGTGTGGTGATAATGTGCAACCAGCAGAGGGCAGATGTGGCATTATAGAGAGTAGAGAGGAGCAGAGACATTTATCAGACGTTTTACCGTTAAAATTTCTCAAGATTACTTAAAAAACTACTGAACATTTCCACCATTACTGTCCAAGAAAAAAATTACAGTGACTAAGTTCACATATTTTGTGACATGCATAACGAGGCACGATTTCACCCTTTTTTTTTTCCAAAAGACATCTTCCACAACATATCTGTATGTATAATATATTGCTTTCAGAGCAAATATAGGAAAGTAACATAACAAAACATAACAAATCGTGTAACTGCATACAATTACAAAAATAACTGCATACAATCACAAAATATAAAATGCTTTTTTGTTCTTTTAATTAAAGAAATTAATACTTTTGCTCAGCAAGGACACATTTGTAATCTTTTCCAACGTAATACTGTAAATGTCTTTATTTTTATATTCAAATGAACAAACAGTTCCCACAAAAATATTAAGCTGTTAATATTAAAAATGTTTAATATTATAATATATGTTGAATATTAGAATAATTTTAGAATGATTTCTGAAGGATCATGTGACACTGAAGACTGCGGTAATAATGCTGAAAATTCAGCTTTGCATCACAAGAATAAATTACATTTTAAAATATATTCAAATAGAAAATAGTTATATAATATACAATATATCATTACTTGGTGAGCATAAGAGAAGTCTTTCAAAAACATTTAAATATCTTACAGACACCAAACTTATACATGTGACAAATTGCCCCAATATAAATGAGACACCCAGATTCACTTAAATGTTTGTGTTCAAGCATTACAAAAATATGATCTTGAACTGTAGTTTGGATGACAGAATTCACAAAAATGATCCTATCCTATATTTGCCTGTCCAAATCTAAATTCAGTACGCAGATCCCATCGATCATTAAAAGCAATGATTCCTCCTTCAACACAAGGCTGTGTTTGGAAATATGCGGTTTAATTCAGACGAGTCATTGGGGGTCTTGGCCAAGCGTCCCACGAGCGCATTCACAGGATATTTAATGGACTTGTACAGTTTGCACGGAAACAGTTCCAAGTTTTTCAGTTCATCCACACTGCCAAATGTTTAGAGCAGCCAAGAAAATATGGAAGATTTCTGAATTTACAGCTTTGATGTGTTTCCTGCCTGGTGTGACATGTGTGTGTGTGAGACTCAAATGAACAAAAATGGGAGGAGAAAAGGAGAGAGAGTGAGAAAAGTTAAAGCCGAGGAGGGAGCATTGTGAGACCGGCTCAGTGTACAGGATGAGGGACGTGAGAGAAAGCTACAGTCGCATTTGATGCATTCGGTTGCTTTGCTTTTCGCCCTGTATAAGCAGCTTCTCAGAATCTGGTGTCATTTCTGCCTGCTGGAGAAGCACGCGCTATCAGGAGTCAACAGACATCTGCTGCTGCAACACACACACACACACACAGACACGCACGCCGCTGCAGAGATGAGCCCAAACGTGTTTTTGCTTAGTTGTCAGACATAACCCGGCTCTGGAATAGAAGAGCTCTGAACCAGGTAAGACAAACTATTATAAATACTGACTATTATAATTATATTCTGGTTTGAGCTGTCCTGCTTTGTTTTCACTTTTTAGACACCTTTTTTACACTGAAAATGCAAAATTAGTGTGTGTTTTTTATAGTGTGATATTTACTAACATTTTTACTACTACACACTCAGCCAATAGCATGTGTTTGGGGCGGGACTATCTGTTTTCTGATCAATGGCAGACAGTGGGAATGTCCAGGAAACCTGTTTGAAAACAATCACTGAACGGTTGATTTCACATTTGAAGTGCATGAACACGAAATTAAAATGGACCTTGTTAACTTTTTTAAAGAGATAGTTCACCAAAAAAAAATAAAAATAATAATAATTCTATCATCATTTACTCACCTTCATGCCGTTCTTAACCCATAACACTTTCGTTCATCTTTGGAACTAAAATTGAGATCTTTTTGCTGAATTCTGAGCTTTCTGTCGTTCAACTTCCACTTTGATGCTTCAAAAAGTTCATAAAGAGATCGTAAAACTAATCCATGTGAATTGAGAGGTTTAGTCAACATTTTCTGAAGAGACTCGATCGCTTTATGGTGCACAGATTTAAAGTAAGTATTTTATTTATATTCATCAACACACACATCAGTTGTGGTGGAAGCTCACGCATGTTCGCTTGATGTGCGAGAACCAATGAGGTTCATTCTCAAGTAACGCAGCATGTTTGAGCTTCAGCAAGAACCAATGAGGTTCATTCTTGTGTTACGCATCACGTTTGAGCTTCAGCAAGAACCAATGAGGTTCATTCTCATGTAACGCATCATGTTTGAGCTTCTGCAAGAACCAATGAGGTTTGTTCCTCAGTGTCGAGCAGGTTCAGTTGAGTTTCTGTTTATATTCACGGATGAATGTTTATGTTAATAAAAGCCGAACTTCAATCAGTTCATATAAAGCGATCAAGTCTCTTCAGAATATTTGGACTAAACCGCTCAATTCATATTAGTTTTACGATCTCTTTAGAGCACAAATGTCTCAGATTACATCAAAAAGATCTTCATTTGTGTTCCGAAGATGATCGAAAGTCTTGCTGGTTTGGACCAACATGAGGGGGAATCATTTTGGGGTGAACAAACAGAATTTTTGGGTGAACAAAGCACGTTCTTGTGCTATTATGAACAATTTATCACTTTCAACGTCATGTTATCGAAAGAAACTAGGGTCAAGGTTGTCAGAATTTCCACTGCAGTCCTGTGTTTGTTTCGCTAAATTAACACCAAACAGACGTCTTTGTGCATCAACGGTCATCTGCAGCGTTTGGACAGGGATGAGGTTCGCTGCACAGGTTGGCTGAAAGAAAAACGCCTTTTCTCAGTGTTCAGTGTCATGTTTATTTTCGCAGCTGCTGGCACGTGTTCTTGGAAAAATGGCAAGTAACAGATCTCTAAGCTAGTGAGAGAGAGAAACAGGGATGTGTTTAGGTGATTAACCTTGGGGAAAAAATCAATTAACAGACGTATAAAATATACAGTAAAAATGGGCATTGTTAACTTATGGACAAAAAAGTCAATATAAGTTTAAGTTCAAATCAAATATAAATAGATACATGTTAAACTCTGTAGATTGTGACTTGCACTCTAGTCTGTAACAAATTCACCAAACAGAAATTAAGTTTACACACTGTAAAAATATATTGTTGGTTTAACTTAAAAAATGAAGTAGCCTGGTTGCCTTAAAATTTTAAGTTCATTGAAATGGAAAAAGTGAGTTAATACAATGAAGAAGATTGATTTAATCATCAGTAACTCCAAATAATATGTTATCTGAACTAAATAAATTATTAAAGTTGATTTGACAAAAGAAAGAATGTTGTGACAAATCAACTATTTTTTTTACATTGCACACTGTAAAAATATATTGTTGGTTTAACTTAAAAAATGAAGTAACCTGGTTGCCTTAAAATTTTAAGTTCATTGAAATGGAAAAATTGAGTTATATATTGAGTTAAATTGACTTTAATAAAATGGAGGTGATCAATTTAACCATCAGAAACTCAAAATATTATGTTATCTGAACTACATAAATTATTTAAGTTGATTTGACAAAAGAAAAAATGTTGTGATTGCAAATCATGAAAAAAAATTTTTTACAGTAATTTCTAGACATTATAGATTAATGCCGCCTTCATGTGCTATCAGGAATTTTTTACTTCCCACTTCTGAAGTCGTGATTACGAGCTTGATGCGTTCCATTGCTTTGTTGTCGGAAACTACTGGAATCATGACAGGTTTATTCTTTAATTGGGAGAAACTTATGAAATATAATCAAAACCAAAATTATACCTAACATCTTATGACAGACGCTTGCAGACGATTCTGAAATTTCAGTCGAATACAGGCTATTATTGCTGTGTATAAAACACAATATGCTTCAAATGATTATTCATATATGCACTACTTTAATTACAAGACAAAAAGATGATGTAGCTGTGGTGGAAAAACTAATCCAGAATACCAGTCACAGCAGCAATCGTTGGAAACACTGCGAGTGCTTTATTGTAAATACGGTTTTTGTTTGTTTATATGAACTGAGTGAAGACTCTAAATTATATTCTGTGATAACCGACAGCATGAGATGCTGATGATAGGGCTTAACCTGCATTTAACCTGCAACACTGCTGTTAAAGGCAATAAAAGAGACTAGGCCTACAAGCATTTCCAAGAAGACAAATGATGTTTAATGGAGCTCTTTGTCATGCGTTAATACAAACCAGCGGTTGTGGAAAAAACCCTCAGACAGGTTCCACTGCCCTCGAAGAACGAGTTCACAGAGAGGCTCCTCACGGTTTTCAATTTACACTCCTTCACAATCCCGTTTAGCTCATCCCTCCATTCTCCTGACTTCCCCACCTCTCTCTCCCTGATGGCCCGTTGTGGGAATCTGAAACTCAAGACTGCCCTGAAAACCGTAAGGCTATGAAAATCGAGCGATCTCAAAATCTTCCTCTCTCGCTCTCTTTTGTTTCTTACACTTGTCTGCCTTTTCCCTTTGTTGGCCTTGTTTCCATTTTAATGGATACAACACCCTTTGAAAGAATCTGGGAATCTAGAAGAAATAAGTCGACAGCCATTGATGGTCGCGTTACAGGATTGTCATGTTACATTAAGAAACGTGTCAAATATTTGAAGGCATGCTAGCTGTGCTGATGTTATATATCAGAAAGCATATAAAGCTGCAATTGGGCAACCTAAATATGCAAATAAGGCAAAAACAGGTTCAACCTTTCCACAGAGACATTTTATGGATTATGATGTATGATTGCGAGCATTGATGGATTAAAGGGGTGGTTGACTGCTTTTTTTCTTTGCATGATTGTGTTTATGGGGTACAATATAACATGTATTCGTGGTTTTTCTTTTTTTTTTTCAAGTTTTATTTTTCATAAATTTCACCTTTATTGTAAGCCGCTTTCTCCTCTGTCATTTGAACGACCGGTTGAGTCTATGACACCACCCCCTCAGAAACAGGCAGTGGGCTCAGATTGGTTAGTTTGGGCCGGTGTGTTGTGATTGGCTAAACTTGCATATGTGTTCCTGTCAAATGTACATAATGGTGTCGATACTGCAGTAGCATTTTGTACCAGATTTAGACCCAGAAAGCGGCTATGAAGAGAGTCAAGCAGAACCTCGCCACATACGGCTCTTACAAAACGTTTCTGAATGGTAATTTGCCTATATTTCTTTTTTAACTTTATACACGTTTGTTTTACACAATAGCATCGAACTGACTGGCTGTCTACTATATACACAAACAGCATTGGTTTACGTTCTTGATCAAATCGAAAAATAACGTCATAAAGTATATATACATAAAAAAAAATACATTTACAAAATTAATACATATACAAATTCAGGTCCAAAATGTTTGTACGCGTTTGTCGTAGACACGAAATAGCATAACTAAGTGGCTATAAAGTCAGCGCTGGCATTTGATAAAACTAAAACATTATGTCTGAAATTATACATGCAAAAACATTTAAATTTATTTAGCCTACTTACAGGTTGTGGCCCAACAACTGCTGTCTCTGGTTTTAAAGTTGTATCTGCTTCATGCTTTAGTAACATTTTCTTGTTGAATCCGGCATTGAATTCGTGGAGATTGTGGAAGCTGTCTCTCGTAAAATGCGCAGCACAGCTAGATTATGATTATAATTTTCAGCAACATAATCAAACATAAATTGTATCCATTGTTGACGAACTACAACGTCCGACTCCGTGGGAAGCCCGAACACAGAAGACCTGACAGCTGGTGAAAATAACACACTTTCAATGAGCCGCAGAAACATGGTCATGCCCTTTTTTGCATTTCCAGAGGGAGGGTTGATGTAAATCTATGGGTTAGTGATGTCTAACACCCGTTGTAGTCCCAATCGAGTCGTTTTTGTAGGCATTAAACTTGCTGATTTTTAAAAGACGATATCTCTGCTTACACTGAACTTTCAGCGCTGCAACTTTGCAGATACTGTTCATGCACCAACAGCAACATTACACACTATTTAAAAAAAAAAAAGTGAAATCCCAATCAACCAACCCTTTAACTGTTATTGTGATGCCAAATACAAGATACTCTTTTTGACCCAAGCACAATATGAACAAATATGGAATATTTACATTGCTATGGCAAAGACATTGCTAAGTATTTCCCTGGCTCTGGCAGACACACTAATAGAACAAGAATCTAATTTTCTGCAGTTGATTAGTTGTGTCTGGAAGAATGTGAGTTCTCAGAACAGCCATAACCAGTTCTTCAACATCTGTGTGAGTTGGTGGGGCTTTCCCAAAGAAGTGATCGTCTCACAACTCGCATCTCGCATTTGCCTGTGAGAATTGAACACACCCGTTTAATCTAATTTAAACCCTGGACATAAACATTTTTACTCACCAAATGCTTGATAAATCAATTGCTTTCATGTTCAGGAAATATGTGCAAGGATTTGCATTTCATTAATGTACAACACTCTT